CAAATGTGGTTTATTATCTGTCAGAAAACGAAAAAAATATCGTACGTGAGTGACATATATAAAAATGGAACGTGGATATTTTAAAAAATAATTCCCAGAATTTCGTATTTTCTGTGCACGTGATAATTTAGTCAAATCCTGTTTAATTTACATAATTTATGCATCAGGACAGGATTCAATATTTTTTATCAGATCATGTAAGAATTTTTAAAGTTGGATATACTTTGAATTGAATGACTTCTCCTTGGGCAATCTCGTTCAGTTCAGTGATCGAACGAACTAGATCATTTTTGTGAAAGTGAACTAGGTCGTCCATCTCGTTCAGTTGCTTATATCGTTCAAATGGTTACTCAGTTCAATTGGCATGACAGCGTATTTTAATTAAGTTCTGGCAGTTCAACCAACCGTAAAGACTGATTGCCTTTCACAATCATTCAAAGGGTTTTCCTATCTGTTTTCTCCACTTTGTTAATGGGTGGTGGCCGATGGTATAACTCTCATATATTTGGCTGCACACTTGTTGTTCCAGACACCTTTGTATCTTTTCCGTGGTTGGCAGCTCCAATGTTGTCTATGGGAGTGCTTTGCTTTTAAATGCCGCTTCATGTTTTTACTGACCCTCCAACTATACGTAAAACACTACTGCAGCATTTGATCTTTTAAGCACCGCACTCAATGAAATGGGACATGAATATATTACACCTACCTTCATAGAATTTAACAGATTCTATATGAAATTGTTCTTATTTGACGCCGTTCAGTTGATCAAAGTCAGTGCACCTGAAGGTTTAGAAGAAAACACAATGTCGTTCAGTGACCGACGGCGTCCATTGAGCAAAGTCGTTCAGTGAGCAACGTCGTTTAGTGACCGACTGAGTCTGGTAAACAAAATAGCTCGTTCAGTGGACTGACTCGTTCAATTGAACTAGGTCGTTCACGAATGACCCAAGACTACTCTTAATTCTACATTTGTTATCGAAATTACGGTTAGATTTTTAATCATATAGAAAACAGCTGATCACAATTTAAGGTAGTTGCCACATTGAGTTTTCTGTTTAAATTATTTACTACGGTTCCAAAAATAATAAGTAAATTAAATATAAATGTTGAATTTTTAACTAAACAACATCTATTACAAAAATGTTCCCACAATTATTTATTTTTTTGTTTAATTGTTAATCTTTTTTAACATTCAACTCCACCTACAATAATTAAATAATCTCAAAATCTATCTCTATAATTAACAAATTAATTAACACCTCATCATGTGAATGAACCCATTAGTCTAACGCCTTTGTTTATAAATCATGGGGCCACCACCATCGTCTAAACATACATATATCAAAAAAGCTTAATGTTCATTTGACATAATACTAGGCGGCAGTATGACACGAGCCAACAAGAGAGCTAAAAACTCCCACGATTCTAAACAATAATAACAATTGCTATTGTTTGAGATGATGACGACAACAGACAACAACAAAAGCAGAAATACAAATCATAGACTACAGTGAACATGAAATCTAAATGATCGTTAAGCATCCATTCATCCAACACCTCACTCCATGCTTGGTACTTTTTGTCGCTCCTCTCTCGCTCTCTATTGTTCCTCAGTAAATAATGGCAATGTAAATTTACACTAAAGCCTCGATATACGCAAAAACCAAAATTTTTCTAGAGCTGAGATGTTTCGTTTCAGCAGAATTATTCCGCAAAAGGAGCGATAGGTACTAAATCCAATACTTTCGTTCATATAGTTCCTTTTGCTCCTGTCGTTCATTCCTCTAGTTCTTTTCAATCAAATCGAAAAACAAGTCCATTGTCCATTTCATGGTAGGCAGAGCTCTAAAGGCCAAATTCAAATACTGCAGTAGTGTTTTAAATATATCTGGAGGGCCAGTTAATAATTTGAACAAAACTTAGTTTTTGTTGATGGAAAACCTACAAGAATCTTCTATTAACCCAAATAACGCCAGAGATTTTTACTTCAAAATCATAAATTGAATTCTAAAACTATGATTACTTTAATAAAGTTCATGTTTTATCATGCAACTAAATTTGCAACTTGCAACTTGTAATTTTTGGTGTTATTTTATAAGGACGGTGGCGCTAAATGAGTCAGTTGTTCTTCCGATTTGATTTTTGCTTTATAAGCTTTTAAAAGCTACCAATTTTTGGTAACAATAAATAAGCAGCTGATTATCAGCTGATCGCATTAACAAATGATAAACAGCTTACCACATATTAGGGTAGTTCCCACTTAAAGATTTCTTTATTTATATTCCGAAAGTGAGTTTTCTGCAAAAATTGTCACAGTTGTCTAAAGTAATACAATATAATTGTATATATAATGTTTTACAAAATTTGTTTTTCAAATTACATTATCGTTGCTTTTTTTTCTTTAGAGGTTTCCTTTGACTATAGACTGACAAGGAAAATTACTATGGCAAATAGCCCCCCAGCTACTGAAAAGCAAAAGTGAAAATTAAATGTAATTGTTAGTGACTTTGTGTTAACATATTTTTGTTAGTATAAGTAAGGAAATTTGTTGGAGAAACTTTGTTTTCTCTCAAGACTTGAGATGACAAATTCAATGGCTGAACATTTTCATGTTAACACTTGTCTGCAATAAGGAAGTGGAAAAACAATAATAATACGTTTACATTGTACCGGGTTTCGTAAACCCAGTGGGTATAAATTGTCAATTTCATTATATATATATGTCAAATAAATCTCTTAAAGTAGGTTAACCCGGTACAAATAAATGCCGTATAAGGACAAATAATCTTTATTTTTTAAATCCACTCGATATCAAATTTGAATTCCATAGCGTATCTTAGTATAAAATTAAATGGATGTATGGATACGATGCGCTATATGTATATTTCGTAGTCTAAGAACCCGTTAGCAGTTGTTCTGTTAACAGATCTAAGAATAAAGATACAAGACACAATCGATATTTTGAAATATTAACCATCCAAAATGATTTACAAATATTTGTAGATCATGTCTATTTCTCAAGATAGCCTACTCTTTGGAATTTGCGTTTTTTAAATTTCATAAGAAAATTTTAAAACTCAATCCACCCTTTGGTCTCCAATGGGTTAACACATCACAAAATTTAAATGATTCATTGTCTAACTATTCCAAAGCATACATAATTTAATTAACCATAAACCAATTACAATTCAATACAATTACTAATGACGTCAATTAATTATAGCAAGACAATAAAAAATGTTTTTGTTCGGAGCATTGAACAAATATCACACGTTGCCCTGACTTCATGGGCATATCAATTTCCATGATAATTGTAATGAGTCGCAGTGGACGCACAAATATGTGAAGAATATTTAATTTAGTTTTGTTATTTAAAAAAAAAAAACAGCAGAGAGAATACAAAAATGTGTGACTCTTATTCCCTCTGATATGTCAGTTAAGTTCCGTATATAGGAATTCTCCAGATTATTTAGATAGACTGATTATTCAAAGTGACTTTGGGCCTTAGTTGTATTAGATCTGCATAAATGACTGATTCAAACCCATTTCAGCTAAAGACTTTAAGAGATTACTAATAATTGCAAACCATTGGATGATGATCGAATACCCTCTCGCGTAGATTTTGTTCATATATTCCTTGAAATGCGATTTATCCATTTGCATGATTTAATCCAGAGGAGATTTGTTAACCTGCCCAAGGTTATTTGATTAGCCCCAGTTGTATCGACTCACATTAGTCTGATTCAATCTGCCGCCGTAACTCCCGCTCCAATACATATTTAGCACGCTTGTGACAGTACATTTGTTCCATAAGCCGAGCTTAAAAACGATTTCCAGGCAACTTGTGGGCAACTCTTTCAATTAAAAAGACCATGTTCCAAAATGTTGTCTTCTACTTGATCTTTCCACCGAATTCGTTGCCTTCCCCTTCTACGTGAACAATCACTTGGCTTTTATATGTATTTTTTGCTGAGGCATCCTCATTCATTCTCACAACATACCTAGTCAACGTAGTCGCTGCAGCTCGATACATCTGTCTATGTCCGAGAATAGATGATACAATTCATGGTTCATTCGACGGCGATATTCACCGTCAACGCCCATCTGCCCATTGACCTTTCGGAGAATTTTTCTCTCAAACACTCCAAGAGCTCATCCGCTTGCACAAGTATCCATGCTTCAGATCCATATAACAGTACGGGTAGTATCAGCGTCTTGAAGCGTGTGAGTTTGGTCTGGCGGGAGGAACCTTATTTTTGAATTGCTTACTCAGATTATATATTATAGATTATATATATATTATAGATTATAGACTATCACGAAGCTGAAATTTTTAAGTTCCACAGTGGACGTCTTGGTCTTCTCGCCATTTACTGCCACTTCTGACCCCTTCTCAATTCCAATGACTCCAGCTCCAATAGCGTATATTAAATGTGTTATACTATAGATTGTTATTACCGGTGGAGTTAATATATTAATGTCGACTCATTCCGGAACGAACTAGTTTTAAGGAACTATTCTGCAAAAGGAAAAATCGGTAATAGACCCGGTTCTTCCATTTATCTAGTTCTTTTGCTGCAGTCGCTTATTTTTGCTTTTGTTCATTTAGGTCCTTCTGATCCAATCCTTCATCCAGATTTTCCCGTTTATTTAAAGAAAAGGAACTGAATGAATAACCTAGTTCATTTTGCGGAGTGAACCGAATTGATTGATCTTCCATTCATAGATACTTGTATTTATGCATAGGTACTTCATATTTAAACCTGCTCCAGTACTCTTCAAAGAGAGTTGTTGTAGGCCGATACGATTACTTTGAACTAATTAGAATGCTTAAAGCAGTCTCCAAACGCCTAAATATTGCGGAACGAATAAGACAGAACGGCTTCTGGACAGAAAATTATCGCTTTAGAGATGTTTACTCTACCCTCAGGGTTTTATTTTAACCTCAGATTTTTTATTTTATCCTCATATTAATAAAATATTTCTTCTATTCTTTCCAGGAATTGGATGTTCTAACACTGGGTGCCAATGATCAAGAACAATTAATTGCAGAACGTAATAAGCGAACAATTGGTTTACTACGTGAACTGTTTCCCGATTTAACTAAGGTAAGCGAGTAACCGTGCTATTTGTTTTCAGAAAATAAAAAGTAACCACATTAGCATAGATAAGCATTGTGATCATTACTAATCTTAAAAAAAGTAAATAAGAGCGCATTTGCAATTGTAGTTGGTAAGATAGAGCACACACTGTAAACCTGTAGGATATTTAAAAAAAATATAACACGTGTACAGCACCAAATAATAATTGATTAGGGTGCGCTAGATTGACACATGTCATGTGCGACATGATTTGTGTGACAATCAAAACCAAAGAAGAAGAAAAAACGAAAATATTCCAATGGCGTTTATTTCTTGTTATTGTCAGCTAATAAACCAGGAAATAGATCGCTATGTTAATAGACTGTTAGTACAAGTGGGTCCCACGATTTTGGGTACCGCACTTAATCCCAGCCTTGGTGCACCACCATCCCCCATAGGCGACGAAGAGCCAGCTATTAATGTTACCACACCGGCAAATTTAACTGAATTCGAACCAGATGAAGAATTTGAAACACAACGGACAAATACACAAAATGGAAGTGGAGATAAAAAATAAAAAACTAAATGGAAAACAAAAGAAAAACAATTGGCAAACAAATTATGAATTGGCATCACTCTTTTAGAAATGAAAACCAAATCAATTGGCAATCCTAGCTTTACAATGATTGGCAACATAGATTGGCATACGTCATGCATATGAAATTAAACTTGGCAGCACCTTTTCAAACGGAAAAAACTGGCAACAAAATATTGTAACTAATGAATTTAAAAATAAGAACAAGAGGTACTGTTTTCCAAAAAAAAACTACAAGGATAAACACAATGAAATGTCGAAGAAATTGACAAAATAAATACACATATGTACACATAGCAATTAAATACTAATTTAGTTAAACGGGAAAGAGAAATCCCAAAAAACCCCAAATACGAAATGGGGAATATTTTAAAATTAATGGTTTATTAGTTTATCTCACACAAACAATTCACCTTGAATTGTTAAGATACACCTCAACCCACCTTGTATTTTGCATGATCTTGCCAAAACCTCCACCCACCCTTGAACATTTACACTACAACAACCATTTAACATATTCGCAAAATTGAAATCAATCAAAAATATTGGCAAACAATTCATCCGAAACTCCACACAAGGTCATCAGTAGTTTTTGGAAACATAGAATTTTTTGAAATTTTATAAAAACCCTTTTTCCTTCCCTTTTGAAACGAAAAAAAACAACAACAAAAATCCAATCCAATTTTGTATAGACCATAGATGATATAGTAAATCGTATTATTGCCCAAGTGATAAGAGTTGCAGGTCCAGATGTATTGCGTGCCGTATTGGGCAATCGTAGTTCAACGCCACGTACCAATATTGATGCCGATTTCGACGACGATGATGATGAAGATGACGACGATGTGGGTTCAAATAATTCCATTGATAATGGCAATAAAGCCACGACAGAGGGGAATGGCAACACCAGCAATTCTGGTGGTACTGATGATAATACCCGTGTAAAAATCGATTTACCCACATTTCCACCACAGGCCAGTGATGCAAGCAATGTGAGTTCGAGAAATAGTGAAACAAGTTCCTCCTCAATATCCTCTGTAACCAGCCGTCCAAATACTAGTTCCTCGTCCAGCACGACAACAACAACCTCTACTACCACTGAAACTCCAACTACCACAACCACAACTACCACTGAAATTCCAACCACCACCACAACTACTACCGAAATTCCAACTACCACAACCACACCATCAAGTCCCATTTACATTGTACCCCAAAGAACAACTAGAGATAATCCTCCAGCCACCACTACCTCCACCACACCCTTAGTTCCTCAATTTTCTACTCCAATCAAAGTAGTACTAAAATTCCCACCTTCCCCACACAACGTAATCCTCCAATTTCGGATATTATTTTAACCAATTCCCTTAATAATTTCCCCACACCCTCGACAACAACAACCATTTCATCAAATGCCGATTTATTGCCAAATCCTCCCAATAATAATAATGCCATCCAAAGTGGCAACACTGCAGCCGGATTTGGCAATAATTTGCAATTGATGGATATTATCGATAATTTAAATCGTTTATTAAATAGTACCAATTATTTTATTGCCAGTAGAGATAATTTATCGTCTTCATCATCGCCGACAAATACAGACATCACAACAGGAATTTCGCCAACAACAACAGCTTCAACAACACCTAAAATTACCAAACTATTACCCGTCGATAATAATGTCATCAACTTAAAAAATCGAACGTACAAAACTGTTCGTTAAAGCATCATCAGCTGTAGTTTGTTTTGATATCATCAAAATCGTCTAAGCCGTACATCATTTGTTTAAAAAAATACAACTCTGTTTTATTATCAGCTGTAGTTTTGAAAAAAAAGAAATCGATTTAGAAAAATAAATACGCCGCTCTACCAAACCAAGCACCTCATCATTGGAATATAAATCAACTGCACCCATAGAGAATATATTATTTTTTTTGATTCATTACCACGTCAGCACATTTATTTTGTTTAAACTCTCTCCCTTTCTCGCTATCGGGAATTGGAGGAGAGAGTTTTTCATTAGTTTTGGGCATTTTTATATATTTAAAATACAAATTATTCATAGTTGTAATTCTCTCATTGTTTGTAGTTCCTTGTAAACATATGTTTTGGTCATATTTATTTCAAAATGGCGGCAATCAGTCAATGAAGGTTTTATAGCTCTCTTCGAGATCATTAACATAATCAGGGGTTTTATTAAATTTGAGTCGTGATCTGGGATGTGAAGGCAAATATCTCAGCACATAATTGCAACTACACATTGGCAAACATTTTAGAACTCAGGATTCTGCATTTAATAAAACTCTCTCATCATTGTAATAATGATTTTGATCGAAGCGAAGTATAAATAACCTTCATTAACTTTGTGCGCGAACAAATTATCATTTATTCTTTGTCGATAGTTTTAGTTTTAGCTGGGTAATAATATGGATTCATTCTCATTTACTAGAATTATTTTAACAATTACAAAAGGCATGAGATTTTTCCAAATTTGTTTGCCGGATCTACGCAGAAATTCAGAAAAAAATTGAATGAAAATTATACAAATTTATAGCTAATTGAACTTATGCACCTATTATATATAATGTCGAAGGACTACTTTCAATAGCTTTTCTATCCCCTTCGTTGTGTATCTCTCTATTATAATTTAGTTCATTTAAGTGAACGCGTATAGTTCAGTTCATCCGAAGAACTAGTTCCTAAATATATTTCAATTGTTCACGTAAATGAACTACTCAAAGCTTGTTTTCGGACGCCTCACAATAAAGAAAGCATTTTATTTGGGTCTAGGGGCTTTAGAAAAAGTTTGAACTATCAAATTAGACAAATTCTTCGTAGGAGATTACCTGTAAACTCACAAAACAGACTCTAAGCAATATTTAATCATGTAAGTGAAACGGATTTATTATGACTCTATATATTCTATATTAATAAGAACCTGGTCCATAGGAAGAATCCAGCGTTATGAACTAAAAACTAATCACTCGCCGCTTCTGAAACCATTGATAGGAATGTTATTCGTTCCATTCGGTATTTTCTTCAAAAGTGGGTTCATCAAAATTCCGCCATTGCAATGGGACTAGTTCTTTAATTACTATCGATATCAATTGTTCGCGTTTAAATTCACACTGAATTATTCGTTGCTCTTTTAAAAAAGTGGTTTAGTGATGGAACTAGTTCCATAATTTGGTTCATAGTTTACAACATCTGGTCCAATTTGTGTTCCGTCCGTTATTATCATTCAAAAAACTTCGATGTATATTTAATAAAGAACAAAAATTTACAATATTGACATCCATAAAAATGTATTATGGACTGAAGAAATGACTCACTCCATCAATTGATGGATCGCTTTCACTGAGTTGAGCCATCTAGTTCACGTAGATGATCGATTTTTCTCGTTTCTTTTCTAGAAAGGAACTAGTTCTCTATCCTATATAGTTCATGTATCTCTCCTTCATCGTTTTTTTATTTTTTTCAACTAGTTCCGATAGCTACGTTCTGATATGTTGATACAAATTGACAAATGCATTGGCGATTCTATGATTTCGTTTCTGAGTTCATATTATACAAGATGGCGCCCAATCAGATATACAGGTAGATAATAATGCTGCATGTAATATCGCATGCATAATGCATAACTTTTAGTGTAATCTAAAAATGGCATACAATTAGATTTTTTGCCAGACAATACAAATTATCCAAACTGTGTATCGTTTTTATAGGCAACCTTAAATACAAGTATTTAATGAAGATAATAAATTAAAAAAAAATCCTGTTCAGGATATGGCGCCCAACATATTTTGGTATGTGGTCATATATTCTAAATGCTTGTTAACAATATCAATTAAATTGGTTCCTAGTTATTAATTTCTTTAGAAAATTACCCATCCTTTTTTATAAAATTCTTTACGAATACTACTCTGAAAATATTATGCTGATGGCAAACTTTATTCAAACATCAAATTGGCGCTCAATTGTTCTTTAGCTTGACAAATGACCTGAAATGTTCGACGATATATATTAAGGAATAATAAAAATGGCGCCCAATTAAAATATTTTTAATATTTGTTTCAATAGAAAATATGTAAAGTGTGTGTGAAATTTTCTGAATTGTATAGCCCGATTCTATATTGATCTATAAGAAATGCTGTGAGACATTACGTAATTCGAGTTTTTTTGAAAAGTTTTTGTTAATTTGGGTTTAGAATTAAAAGAATAAATTCTAAAGATTATTTTCAACCTTCTATTATAAATTGTTAAGCTCTATCGTTCCTTGTCATATGTAAAAATTCACATGGCAGCATTTTCCACAGAAAAAATCAAAAATTACACTCACCACCTCTCTCTCACTCTCTCTACCCACCTCTGTTTCATCTCTTGATAATTGGCATACAATAAAAAAATTCATAATTTTTCTTTTGTTAATTTTCCCCCTTCTGCAAAAAAAAACAAACAAAAATTGCAACACTACAACAACAAAAAATACTAAATTTACCCCCACTTCCCCCAAAAAATAAAACAACACCACCATGAAATCGGAAATTCACGTTGATGTTGTAGCAAATCGATGCCCAGGCCAATATGATTATTTCGAAAGTGTTGCGCACATTGGGCCCCACAATTTTGCGTACCGCCGTTCAAGGCAACACCGCCAATCGTGCTCGTGCCAATTTCGATGCTGATTTCGATGATGACGACGATAATAGCAGTTCATCGGGTGCTACACGTGTGCAAGTTGAATTGGAAACCTTCGAACCAGAAGATGAAGATAAAGATAATGAAATAATGTATAGAAGTCCGGGTGCCAGTAGCACAGAAACAACGACTACCACAGAATCTAGCAAGAGCTCATAAATAAATAATAAAAATATATAACGCAAATGGAAAAATGTGAGTTGGAAAATTGCTGTAACCGTTTTTTGCTACAACAACAACACAAAATTTGAAGAAAACAACAACGAATTGGTTTTAATTGAATTATTTTTTTATTTTTTAAATTATTTCCACACAGAATTCCATAAATAACATATAATAAGAATTCTCACAAAAATTGGCAAATAAAACAACATCGACAAAATGACACCCTCCCAACAACAGCTACACCATACAACTTCTACGAAAATGCATCGGAATTAAATTAAAAAAAAATAATAAAATATCATTTCCTCTTTTTTTTCTTTTTATTTCCGTAATCTAACACTAACTTCCGCTAACTCGTTGTACTGTTAGGTGCTGCAATCTATTGTGTCTCTTTAGGCCTTGTCTTTTTTCCTAGGCTATTTAGACATGTATTAACAAAATCTTATTAACATAATTGTATAATTAATATTTTTTAAGATGTTTAGAAGTATTTTTGATTTCTAGTTTTTTTAGAAAATCAAAAAAACTAAAACCAAAATTCTGCAAACCCATATTGATTGATCATGATTTCTCATGCTTTTTGTTTTTCTTTTTTCTCTTTCTTTCATGCGCATAACACATTCCAAAAAAAAATCAAATCAAAATCTATCTCAAACGACTTGTGAAAAAAATAATCCAAAAATAAAAATCATCTTCAAAAATTATAACCAAAAAAATTAAATAAATGTATACAATATACATCATTATGCACGTGCATTCATAAAAAAATGTAAATGTACTTAAATTGTGTATGAACTAACCTCAAAACAAAATACGAACAAAAAAAAATTCCAAACACTCTCTACACAAAAATCTACACACACATTCCTTTAAAAAAAATGCACGGCATGGACCATCTGTTTTTTGTAAATGTCTGGTAACACCATCATTGTCATATATCTATACTACACATCCTACCTCTATCTCTCCCCTCCTCCCGTTTCTAACAAATCCCATTTCACATCACTCCCTCTCTCTCTCTATGCTATCCTATGTATATCTCTCCCCCTATCTACCTATCTCTCTCCTATCCCCTTTTTACTAACACTCTCCAAATAAAAACAAAACAATGCACGTCAACAAAAACACACACAACAACAACAATACCAAACACCAAATATTCCTGCATATGAATGTGGCAACTCTGTTGAATGTTTAACCACCACACTATATGGCAACATTGTGAATTAAAAAATAAAAACAATACGAAAAAACTTGGCCACACTTTTTTGTCAACGTTGCATGATGATGTTCTTCTGTTGCACCCACGCCCGCAAACAAAAAACCAACCTCGTCCTTATGAAAAAATCAAAAAAATGCGCCCTCCCTCAACTATCTCCCTCCTGCATGTCAACTACCCCTCTCTCTCTCCTACGCCCCTCCTCCCTAACGCAAAACCCAAATTAAATTCAATTTTAAAAGAATGGTGCCACTGATACACAAATCGATTTATCGGCCATTAATAAACAATTGGAAGAGACCATTCGCGTTGCCCGTCAAGTTAAAGAAGCTGAAGCTGCTGCTGCCGCCGCTGCTGTTTTCCAAAATGCCGAACAAAAACAACCCGCCCAATTGCCCATACCTTCGTCGCAACCAAAATTGGAAGAAACCATCCAATTGAGTTTCAACAATGAATTGAACAGCAACGATAAATCGAAATCGATTAGCAATGAATTGCAATTGAGCGAATCGAAGTCACCAGCCATCGATGAATTGTCCTTGGATTCGAATGAAGATACCGCCGATTTGGATGACAGAAATAAGAGGTAAGTCAATCAGATTTTAATTTTATAACTAATTTTGTAAAATATATCGAAGGCATAAAGGCCTAGACAGAATCAATGTTTGGGTTTCGGCGTTGAGGTTAGTGTTGCCAAAGAAAAAACAGTAAAAGTGATGCCAACCACTTGAAGGCAATGAACGCGTAAGGCGTGGATTAAAACACATTTTTTGAGAAAATCATAAGGCGGGGATTTAAAAAAATATTTTTGAGAAAATCGTAAAGCGTGGATTGTTTAAAAAATATTTTTTGGGGTTATGTGAAGGCGTGGATTTCTTTAAAAAAATATTTTTTGAGGTTATGTGAAGACGTGGATTTCTTTAAAAAAATATTTTTTGAGGTTATGTGAAGGCGTGGATTTCTTAAAAAAATATTTTTTGAGGTTATGTGAAGACGTGGATTTCTTTAAAAAAATATTTTTTGAGGTTATGTGAAGGCGTGGATTTCTTAAAAAAAAATATTTTTTGAGGTTATATGAAGGAGTAGATTTCTTTAAAAAAATATTTTTTTGGCATAGCAAAAATTTCTTTAAAAATATTTTTTGAGTTTACAACCAGGCGTGGATTTTTTAAAAAAAATATTTTTTGGCATAGCAAGAATTTCATAAATAATATTTTTTGATGATTTAAAGGCGATGCCAACCATAGTGGTGGCAACGCCACTTAGTTATTGTTTTGGCAACACCAAACCGCAACAGCGAAATACAAAAGTGGATACTGACTTCGCCTTAAAATTGGAAACCAATTTCTAGATTCTAGAAAAAAATTGATATGAAAATTATTAATTTCAAATTGTTCCTAAATCTAGAATGGGCCTCCAGTTCCATATCCATAATTTTTACCATTTGAAACCTAATAATCCATTCTTATTATTTATTAACTTTAGCATGAAAATATCTCCAATTGGTCGCAACATTTTTAACCCCATCTAATTGAAATTATTTTTTTCCAAATTTGTTTTTTCTAAATTATATATTTTTGGGTAACTACAAAAACGATAACATGTATAATCATGACTAACCCCCCGACCCACACACATACACACTCCATCCAAATATTGCTTGCCGGTTTTTATGGGTGCAAATTACTCATGTTTAGCAATATTTTCAAAAGGTTCTTGCAGTTCGGCGGTGCTGGTTTAGCTGGTGGTGCCAGTTCCGGTTCTAGTGCAGGAGGTGCTGCTGGTGGTGCCGGCGGTGCTGCCGGTTCCGGTAATTTCCTATTCGATATTGTCAGAGTAAGTATGATTTTAAACTCAAGAAATTATTAAATAAAGAAGAACCGATTTTTTTAAAATTTGAAAAAAATATTTTTTGAATACACTGCAAGGCCGGATTTTTAATATTATATTTTTATATATTTATATTTTTCTTCCTCATTCTTTAGCTTTTCTCTGGCAGTGTCCAAACACCAACTGGTGATGAAGCCGCCAACAGTGCCAACAGCGTTAGCAGTTCCTCAAGCAGCGACTCCGATAGCGATAGCCAACGTGCCAATGATGGCTACACGGAAGGTATTCCCGGCCCTGTCACCAGATTGGTTGTCTTGGCTAATCGTGGTTTGGCCAATTTGGTGCAAGATTTGATTTTGGTAAGTAGACACAAATCAATTCTTGAAAAGAAATTTATTAATAAATATTTTTGTATTTTCTCTTCCAACAGCGTGTGGCAGCCACCAGTGAGAAATTCGTCAACTTCAAGGCCAAACTTATTACAGCTCTTATTTAAGATGCATACAGCAGCATACAGTCTCCTCGCACATTTTCTATGCGTTGTTAATAATAATTATCCCAATTTTTTTATACACTCACAAAAAAAATCATTTCAAAATTAGTTAAATTCTACACCCCTGCCTGCACACTTTGTCACCGCCTTTACACCCATACAACGAACATTTTTCTTTAGAAATAAAATTGTAGTTTAACGACAAATCATAAGGATATTGAAATCTCTATAACCACCCCCACAACCACCCCTCTACCCCCTGTTAAATTGGCAGTAGATGTTAAGAAATCCGTTGGCTGCAACATTTGAACATGTTTCATCATTTGTTTTTAGTTTTATTTATTATGCAAAACAAAAAAAATTTCCTAACAAATTGATTTTCTTTTTAATTTTATGAAACATTTTCAAAAACTACACAACAAAACCCCATCATCAATAATAATAACAACAAGTCAATAATAATCAAAATGAAAAAATACAATGAAAATTTGTCATGTTGCTCTATAGTAGTTGTAAACTGCTTGTAAATATATATTTTTTGTTTATTATTTTTTATTATATATAGATTTTTTGTTTTTATATTTTTTGTAAAAAAAACTACCTACCTATATTTTCCTAATTTTTCTATTTTGTATTTTTTAAATGTAAAAAAAAAATAAAAAAATATTACAAAAAAATAAAAACTAAATATGACTGTGGTGTTTACTCTAACAAAAAAACGAAACTATTTTAGAACAACAAACAAAAATACACATAAAAAAATAATAATAAAGTTAAAGAATATAACAAAAAAACTGAGAAAGATCAAAAAATACCCAGCTGAAATTTTGAGATCCATAATTAAAACTTTTGAAGTTGTTGTCATTTTGAAAAACAAAAACCTTGTCAATTTTTAGTGAATTCCCTTAAAAAATGTTAATTTAACTCTTAAGTCATCTGGAGTTGTTTCAAAACCCCCCTCCCCTTTATTATGTATGTTTGTATTTTTTAAGTTTAAGTTGTTTCTTTTTTTACAATTTTAGTTTTTAAGTTTTGTAAAAAAAAATAGTCCCACTTTTATTTCATTTCTCACTTTGCTTTTTAATAATAATTTTTACATTCACTACTTTTTTTATATAACTACCGCTGGTATGGATTCTTTTTTTAGTATTCTTTCTAAATATTTTCTTATTCTCAGTTTATTCTAAACACTATTCTATTCTCCCCTTCCCCTTCACTGTGTTATTTTATAAGTGTTGTAAATACAAATAAATAAAATATAGTAAAAAATTAAAACACAAAAGTGTTTTATTTATTTTTGGGAAAAATGTTTGCGGATATATAGCAAGGCGTGGATTTTTTAAATACAAATATTTTTGGAGGATATCAAACATACGTGGATTTTTTAAAAATTATTTTTATACCCTTCATCACACTGTGGTACAGGGTTTATGTCTTTGTGCATATGTTTGTAACACGCAAAAGGAAACGAGATAGACACATGGTTCCTTTTGAGAAAATAGAATCACTTTTTAAGTCGATTTATGCATGTCTGTCCGTCCGTCTGTTCATGTTAAATTGTAAACAAAGTACAGGTCGCATTTATGATCCGAATTGGATGAAATTAGGCGTTGGTCACTTATTTGGCCCAAGGACGAACCCTATTGAAATTAGGAAAAATCGGTTCAGATTTAGACATAGCTCCCGTAATGAATTAGGTCTAGAATGATGTGTGTTAAGTTTCCTGAAAATGGATTTAATTGTTTAAATTGTTTACCAAAGTCCCTATATATCCTTCGATTTGCACAAAATTTGGCTTAGTGTACTGAATTAAGTCTATATCGATCTGTGTTAAATTTGGAGAAAATCGGTTCAGGTTTAGATACAGCTCTCATATATATTTTCGTCCGATTTTAGGTAAATAGTTCACCAAAGTCCCTACATATCCTTCGATTTGCACGAAATTTGGCATAGGGTACTGAATTGTGTCTAGAGAAAATCGGTATATAGCTCCCATTTATATTTTTTCCCGATATTAGGTAAATATTGCACCAAAGACCCTTTATATCCTTCGATTTGCACGAAATTTGGCATAGGGTACTGAATTGAGTCTAAAAATATGTGTGTTAAATTCGGTTCAGATTTAGATATAGCTCCCATATATATTTTCGTCCGATTTAATGTAAATGACGCACCAAAGTTCCTATATATCCTTCGATTTGCACGAAATTTGGATTTATAAGTAAATGAAGAACTCAAAATGTGGCCGAATGCACAAAACATACTGAAATAAGTGTAACCCAACAAGTGACAAGTTTCGATGAAATCGGTTTAGATTTCGATATTTTGCTTTAAATTTATTTACATAATTTTGTCCCATTGTAAGAAGCAACTCTATACCTGACCAACATTTAGTATAGGTTGCAGAATGACATGTTTAATTTCATGTTAATGGTCCTTAAAAATGTGACGTCTGTTAGGATTCCATCTGTTGAATATTCCCAAAGTGGTGAAGGGTGTCATATAGTCGGTCCCGTCCGACTTTACTACTTTATTTACTGGTTTAAAATATATTTAATAAAAATATTTTAAAAAATAATTTTAAAAGAATCCAAGCCTGGTTATAAACCTCAAAAAATATTCTTTAAAGAATCCACGCCTGGTTATTACTTACTTAGCTGGCTTTTGAAATAACTTTCGTTCCATAAGCCGACTTAAAAAAGATTTCCAGGCGCGTCGGTCTCCGGCGCAGTTTTTCCAATTTGAAAGACCATATTCCACAATGTTGTCTTCCACTTGGTCTTTTCATCTTATCCGAGAATAGCTGGTACAACTCATGGTTGATTCGACGGCGATATTCACCGTCAACGCAGTTCGGCCCATAAATCTTCGAATAATTTTTTCTCTCAAACACTCCAAGAGCTGCCTCACGTGATTGCGCAAGTACCCATGCTTCAAATCCATATAACAGCACGAGTAGTATCAGCGTCTTGTAGAGTGTGAGTTTGGTATGGCGGGAGGTGGCCTTGCTTTTGAATAGTTTGCTCAGACCATAGTAGCATCTGTAAGCCATCACAATCCTTCTCCGAATTTCAAAACTGATGTCATTCGTTTTATTTATGGCGGCACCAAGGTCTTTAACTACCTCGAAGCTATAGTTCTCAAGTTCCACAGTTGGTCCGAGTCTACTGGACGTCTTGCGCGTTGATACCATCAGCTTGGTCTTCTCACCGTTTACGGCCAGACCCACTTTGTGCAGTCTTCTTTTCAATTTGTTCAAAGGTGGCTGTTACCGCTCGCAATGTTCAATCCATTATATCGATGTCATCGGCGTAGGCGAGTAACATGTGTTGTTTGGTGTACAGATTGCCATTTCTGTTCACCTTTGCGTCTCGTATGACCTTTTCCAGCAGGATGTAAAAAAGTTCACACGAAAAACTGTCACCTTGTCTGAATCCTCGTTCGGTATTGAAGGCCTCCGGTAGGTCCTTTCCGACTTTTACTGCTGATCTTGTGCCAGTTAAAGTTGTCCTGCATAGTCGTATTAATTTTGCAGTAATGCCAAACGCAGACATGGTTTTATACCCCTCTGAATGTCGATGTGTTTATGTGTCGATGTGTTTTTAGTGGGTCTTTGCCAGAGTGAAAATCTGGTCAATGGTGGATTTGCCAGGTCTAAAGCCGCATTGGTATGATCCAATAATGTCATTGACCATTGGCTTCAATCGTTCACACAGCACATTGGATAGCACTTTATATGCGATGGGAAGAAGGCTAATTTCTCTATAGTTAGCACATATCGTCTTGTCACCTTTTTGTGCACGGGACACAGGATGCTGAGGTTCCAATCAATGGACATGCATTCTTCTAGCCAAATTGTACTAATCAGCTGGTGCATTGCACCTTTGCAGCAACCTTACCCTTTATATCCTTCGATTTGCACGAAATTTGGCATAGGGTACTGAATTGAGTCTAAAAATATGTGTGTTAAATTCGGTTCAGATTTAGATATATCTCCCATATATATTTTCGTCCGATTTAATGTAAATGACGCACCAAAGTTCCTATATATCCTTCGATTTGCACGAAATTTGGATTTATAAGTAAATGAAGAACTCAAAATGTGGCCGAATGCACAAAACATACTGAAATAAGTGTAACCCAACAAGTGACAAGTTTCGATGAAATCGGTTTAGATTTCGATATTTTGCTTTAAATTTATTTACATAATTTTGTCCCATTGTAAGAAGCAACTCTATACCTGACCAACATTTAGTATAGGTTGCAGAATGACATGTTTAATTTCATGTTAATGGTCCTTAAAAATGTGACGTCTGTGACGTCTGTTAGGATTCCATCTGTTGAATATTCCCAAAGTGGTGAAGGGTATCATATAGTCGGTCCCGTCCGACTTTACTACTTTCCTTACTGGTTTAAAATATATTTAATAAAAATATTTTAAAAAATAATTTTAAAAGAATCCAAGCCTGGTTATAAACCTCAAAAAATATTCTTTAAAGAATCCACGCCTGGTTATAAACCTCGAAAAATATTCTTTAAAGAATCCACGCCTGGTTATTACTTACTTAGCTGGCTTTTGAAATAACTTTCGTTCCATAAGCCGACTTAAAAAAGATTTCCAGGCGCGTCGGTCTCCGGCGCAGTTTTTCCAATTTGAAAGACCATATTCCACAATGTTGTCTTCCACTTGGTCTTTTCATCTTATCCGAGAATAGCTGGTACAACTCATGGTTGATTCGACGGCGATATTCACCGTCAACGCAGTTCGGCCCATAAATCTTCGAATAATTTTTTCTCTCAAACACTCCAAGAGCTGCCTCACGTGATTGCGCAAGTACCCATGCTTCAAATCCATATAACAGCACGAGTAGTATCAGCGTCTTGTAGAGTGTGAGTTTGGTATGGCGGGAGGTGGCCTTGCTTTTGAATAGTTTGCTCAGACCATAGTAGCATCTGTAAGCCATCACAATCCTTCTCCGAATTTCAAAACTGATGTCATTCGTTTTATTTATGGCGGCACCAAGGTCTTTAACTACCTCGAAGCTATAGTTCTCAAGTTCCACAGTTGGTCCGAGTCTACTGGACGTCTTGCGCGTTGATACCATCAGCTTGGTCTTCTCACCGTTTACGGCCAGACCCACTTTGTGCAGTCTTCTTTTCAATTTGTTCAAAGGTGGCTGTTACCGCTCGCAATGTTCAATCCATTATATCGATGTCATCGGCGTAGGCGAGTAACATGTGTTGTTTGGTGTACAGATTGCCATTTCTGTTCACCTTTGCGTCTCGTATGACCTTTTCCAGCAGGATGTAAAAAAGTTCACACGAAAAACTGTCACCTTGTCTGAATCCTCGTTCGGTATTGAAGGCCTCCGGTAGGTCCTTTCCGACTTTTACTGCTGATCTTGTGCCAGTTAAAGTTGTCCTGCATAGTCGTATTAATTTTGCAGTAATGCCAAACGCAGACATGGTTTTATACCCCTCTGTGTCGATGTGTTTATGTGTCGATGTGTTTTTAGTGGGTCTTTGCCAGAGTGAAAATCTGGTCAATGGTGGATTTGCCAGGTCTAAAGCCGCATTGGTATGATCCAATAATGTCATTGACCATTGGCTTCAATCGTTCACACAGCACATTGGATAGCACTTTATATGCGATGGGAAGAAGGCTAATTTCTCTATAGTTAGCACATATCGTCTTGTCACCTTTTTGTGCACGGGACACAGGATGCTGAGGTTCCAATCAATGGACATGCATTCTTCTAGCCAAATTGTACTAATCAGCTGGTGCATTGCACCTTTGCAGCAACATTAGACGAGTGCGAACCTTGGCTGCTACAAGGTAGTGGCCCGAATCGATGTTCGCTCCTCGGATCGATCGAACGTCTAATACACTGGGTGAATGCCTTCCGTCTATCACAACATGATCAATTTGATTTCTCGTTGCTTGATCGGGAGAAATCTAGGTGGCCTTGTGTATATCGAGATGCTTGAATCTGGTGCTACTTTGCTACCGCGAAGTCAATCAACCCCATGTCGTTGTCGGATGTTTCTTCATGGTGACACCGCGGGGAGGTCAGTGTCCACAATTGAGATGAAAGAGGCACCAAGATAAGCCTGGACTTCGCCAAGATAAAGCCAATCAGAGCCGTTGCTTGGTATCTTTCAATTGTATTTTAAATTTCGATGTGACAAATCTCGTTCGAATCAAAATCTTGATAACTCGGCACGCTATTAAATACTCGCCCATAAAGACTCCCTTCAACTCATCAAAATTGCGTGACAATTGTATTTCAAAATGTCCATGTGACAAATCTCGCTCGAATCAAAATTCTTGGTGACTCTTGGACGCTATTGTTTATTGGTGAATTACATGGGGTCACGACGGGTTATATGATTTCATAAAAAACTAGACATTAGGGTGAATCAGAATAATTAATTAATCACGAACAATTTTCAAGTTCATTTAAAAATAAATTCAAATATTGTTCGAAACCTCTCTAATATACACTGCAAAGCATTGCAGCATATTAATTCCCAGAATTTGATGAAATAATTTAGCTTGAATTCATGCCAGAATAAATGAATGTTTTATTGAAAAAATTCATTTTAATTAACTTATCTAAGAGAAGATCGACGCAAGAACAAAAAAACTTATTTAATTAAATAAATCGCTACTCTGTGTTCGCACTCTTTCGAATAAAAAAATGAAATAAATTAAAGAGACGCACACAAACTGAAAATAAATGAAATGTGAAGAAAAACAATGGTATACAACGAATCTAAAGTATTCTATAAAAAATAATAAAAATTTTTCAAAGTGCAAACTTTAATAATAGAAATTATAAAAAAATAGTAAAAAATTTTCCTTGAGTTATTATTTTTTCCCCAAATCCCACAAGCCACTTATAAATATGTCATAATATTTACTCAATATTAAATTAATACATTGTACTCATTTGTGTGTGTGCATAAGGGAATTCCCACTTCCGTTTCCGTTTTATACAAAACAACCAAGATGAGCACACGTATCACATTACCCAAACACCAGCCGACAACAATAGCATTGCCCTACTCTTCAGAGATCACAATGCACTTCACACTTCTAAAAATAAACTGAAGTCAATTGACCACCCAAAATGACAAAATATTGCGTATAACCATCCCTCTGTTTTCATTGGTTAACCCACCCATTAATAATAAACTGGCAAAACGATCAGATACAGTTTTTTGTGGATTTTCAAACAAAACGAGAGCAATAAATGTCGATACAGTGGCCGAAGCGAGTTCATGAGCGCAAAGAATAAAATTAATGTATGAATGCCGGAGGAACATTGATCACTAGCGTACGAGGGTAGTGTACCAAGTATTGGAAATACTGGCAATAGCATTGCAAAAAATATTTTTTGAGGATATACTTAGGCGTGGCTTTGATAAGAAATATATTTTAAGGATATAGACAGGCGTGGATTTAAAAAAAATTAATATAGCACAGACGTGGATTAAAAAAAATGGAGGATATAGACATGCGTGGATTTTTTTGAAAAATATTTTTTGAGGATATACTTAGGCGTGGATTTAAAAAAAAACACTTTTGAGGATATAGACAGGTGTGGATTAAAAAAGGGGATATGGACACGCATCGGTTAAAAAAAAAATATTTTTGTAAGATACAGCATGGGGTGTTTTTATAAAGACACGTTTGTGGACATTGACCTCTCCGTGGTGCCACCTGGGGAAGCTATTTTAATCACCCGATGAAATAGTGAGCTTATATGTGCCGCGAGTTCGCCCATAAGAAGTATAAAAAATGGGCTGAGGCGTCGGGTTAGTTGCCCACACTCGGAAAACCGAACCTACTATGAAAAATCAAAGAAAAAGAAAACAAAACCCCCCCTAATGTTGACGACCCCCGCAAATGTATAAAGGACAACGATCTACGAATTTCCACATGGAATGTGCGCACGTTGTACAGAACAGGCGCAATGTTCGCTTTGGCGGATGTACTCAAGAAGTACAAAGCCGATATTATTGCCTTACAGGAAATGCGATGGAAAGGGACATGCGTAAGTAAATCAGATGATTACGCCCTGTATTTTAGCTGCCATGAAACGAGACGTGAATTTGGCTGCGGATTTATGGTTAACAGGAGAATAAAATACCTTGTCTCCATATTCACTCCAGTAGATGAGCGAATTGCTATAATTCGTATAAAAGCGAATTTCTTCTACATCAGTCATCATTCGATTCGGACCATTACTTTTTGGCAGCCAAGGTACGCACCCGTCTTAATGTAGCAGCAAAGGTTCGATATAATGTAGCACGGAAATTTGATGTCGAAAAACTGCAAACACAAGCCTACTCCGCTCAACTTTCCCAACTGCTTGACGAAAGTACCCCTTGTCCCGATAATAATATAGAAGCACAGTGGCAGAGAATTGCCACTCCCTAGAAACTGCAGCAAAAGCAAAACTTGGGTACCAAAAACCACCATCAAGAAATCCGTGTTACGATCAGGAGTGTCGTCATGCTGAAAAACACAGCGTATAGGGCAACCCTGCGGACAGTAGCAACGCGTAATACGATGGAGAACTATCGGGAGAAAAGGAGAAACGTATTTTCAGAAAAATGAAGAAAGAACAAGAAAAACGTGAGCGTGAGCAAATTGAGATGTACAGAAGTCAGAATGAAGTCTGAAAATTCTACCAACGGGTAAAACACCAAACCGAAGGCTTTGGTGCAGGCACATCCTCTTGTAGAGATGATGGTATCAAATAGTAGCGGTGAAGAGGATACCCCAAAACCAATAATAGACGGTATAGAGTGTATACCACCTAGGCTAGATGAAGTCAGAATAGCAATCAATCGGCTGAAGAACAATAAAGCAGCGGGTGCCGATGAGTTCGTTTATAGAGTATCCTTTCTATAAAAATCGCTTAATCTACTTCATAAAGACTCCCTTTAGCTCCTATTTAAAGATTCCTTTCACCTCGTCCATAACGAATTTGTTCAGCTCCTCTATAAAGACTCCCTTCAGCTCTCCTATAAAGACTCTCGCTTGTCCATTCAGCTCTTTCTGATTCCCTTCAACTCTTTTATAAAGACCTTCTTAGCCTCGACTATAAACATGTTTCAAAAATTTACCTAACTTCCGCTGCCAACCTCCCAAACCATATTCACATAAATATTTCCCGGCCAACAAGTGTTCTTGTATGGGCAATTTGTCGTCGTTAATGACTTAATTCATTTTACAGTTCTATGGCAGATCTCATTCGAACAGGCATTTTTTTAGTTTATGTTCGTGCGCGAGCGCATGTGGATGAGGATGGATGCCCACAAATAATTCAGAAATTAAAATATGTTTGAGCAATTGTGCGTTTGTTTTTGTAGATAGAATTTCAGACCAACAAACGCAGTAGCCATCTCAAATGACCATTAAAATGCTCTCTCGATGATATTCCTTCTCCCAAAAAACATTCTATTCTCAATGCATGTTCCACTTTAAACAAAACCCTGGTGATGGTGATGATGACTGAAACAACAAAACTAAGAACAATGCCCAATAATCTTCCATCTCATCCTCATAAGGAGGCTGTGGAGTAGTGGGGAATACCCAAATGGCTTGTGGTTGATTGGTCGAGTGACTGACTGCCTGCCTAACTATAAGTGCCACTGCAGAACAATGTAATGATTTCAGTCGCTTGTGTGGGTGAAAGCCATCAACAACAAAATTACAGAAGTGACGGCAAAGAACAAAATATTTGAAATATTTTTTTGTTTTGTTTTAATTTTTGTTTCTATTTAATATTCAAATTAATCGTACCATGGAATTCTATACGAACTATGATGGACAAATGGATATGTGTTCCAATAGTCGTATAAGTCATTCGGAATCTGATTCATCGAATGGTAAACCCCGACATGCCGTAAATGCCCGTGAACGTTGTCGAACACAGAGGTTAGTTATTGATAAAAATAATATTAATAAATTAACTATTAATGGAATATATGTATATATTTTCGCAGTGTAAATAGTGCCTTCAATACCCTGCGCACCTTAATACCCACCGAACCGTATGATCGCAAATTGTCAAAAATTGAAATATTACGTTTGGCCAAAAGTTATATCGCCCATTTGGATGCAGTCATTGTAACAGGTGAGACAAAGAGTTTACGAAATCAATTAGTTACGAAATGTATTTTCTAGGCCCACCTTCTAGTTGAATCGATCGCCATGAGGCAAGACCACAATAAGATATTCGATGTTTTGTAGTTTCAAGGCGACATCTCACAACATTAAAGCTCGTGGCTTGTCGTGTTACTCTCCCAGTCATTTCATTGAAAATTAAGAACATGAGAACTTGTTCCTTGAATAATTGATATTTATAAAGACCTCTGAGAGGCAAAATGGTTTTGGCTCTAAACTGGCTCTATGTATATCTATATAAGCTCTAAAAAAACATTTTTGATACCTACGGTTCAATGCGAGTTTGATTAATCTTAAGTAAGAATCGCAGCATCATACTCCATTTCTGTTTGCAGTACTTGCGGATAGTTATGGTTATAAAATAGAGCAATATTATTTGAAAATATTAAGAGTTTCCCAATAAAATGAATGTTTTTTTAACAAATTAACAAATATTTAGAATAAAACAAGACCAAGAACACTTCCTTGAGAAACACCACACCTGACAGGGAGCCTACTGTTTTCGCGTCAACTATCTATATTTGCTAAAAAACTTTAAAACAATGACAGTGTAGTTGTGGTGAAACCAATAAATTTTAACTTCTCTATCAAAATCTTATGGTCACCAGATCGATCACTTAGGTTAAGTCATAAAAAAAACTCCAGCAACTCCTTTATATGCCTTATATTGTTCTTTACAAATATTATTTGTAACTGTTACTAAAGCTTCTTGTGTATCTGGACGCCTTTTGAAGCCATATTGATGATCAAATACAATATAATTTTCTATATGATAATTGTTCACACACGATTTTTTCATGTTCACACACGATTTTTTCGAAAATCTTATCAATTGTGCGAATGATTGATTTTGGTTTAAAATTTTGTACATTATTTGATTCACGAATTTTGGGAATCGGATAAGCGGATAGGTCAAAAAATCTTTTCACAGAAAAGTATTACATACCGTGAGCAGCAAAAGTCATGGTACCCCATACAAATCAAAAAAAAATATTCAGTAATTCCTCAAAAAGTAATTCACAAAATTTCAAATATATATTTTTATTTCATGTATTCAACCCTATACTACAACGAATTAAAGTAATATTTATTTTTTTTATTAAAACAAAATAGACATAGTGCCAAGTGCATATTTTTACACAGCATAAGTCTTGGTACCCCTGGAGAAAAATAATGAATTATTGAATATTACTTAATTTTTACAATTAAATTGACTTAACTAAAATTTGGTAGGATATCCCTTGAGTTTTAAAACTTCATTCAATCGTTCGGGCATTGAGTATACAAGTTTTTTAGTGTAGTCGGACGATATTTTACCCCATTCTGTCAGAAGTATTTCTTTGAGTTGGGCCTTACTGGAAATTGTATGATTTCGGATTCGTTTATCTAGATGATCTCATAGGTGCTCAGTAGGATTTAAATCGGGGAGGTGTTATCAGCATGTTTGGTGTATTGTATAAGATCCAATTCTTAACGTCAATAGTAGTGTGGTTTGGATCACTGTCCTGTTGGAAGTAATGATTATCACGAATGTTGAGTTTTTCAGCACTTTGGTTCAAATTTTGTTTCAAAATATTCATGTAAACTGTTTTATTCATTATTTCCTCAATGAATACCAAATTGCCAACACCAGTTGCTGACATGCATTCCCATACCATTACTCCAACCCCTCCGTGCTTTAGCTATTTTTTGTTCTTCGCCGCCACACCAAAGAGCGTCCATCCGACCCAAATATGTTAAATTTCGATTCGTCCAAGAAAATAACTTTTTCCCAGAACTCATTTGTCTTGTTATTATAATCATTTGCAAAATCGACACGCTTCTTTCTGTTTGTTTTGTTAACAAGTGTTTTTTGCGGGCAGGCAAGTATTGAACCCACACTTTTTGATGCACCTACGTGCCGTGTCTGCTGAAACTGCTTTCCCAAATGATTTTTTTTTTAAGTCTGCAGCGATTTTAGGAGAGCTGGTAAATGGATCCTTTTTTAAAAATACATTCAATTTTTTGTTCTTCTCTGAATTTGAGCTTCCTGGGACGGCCTGATCGCGGTTTATTTTCAATTATATTTTCTTTTTTTTGTATCGATTAACTACTTTTTGGACTGCTTATTTGGTTCTGTTTATCATTTTACCTACTTCGGAATAGGATATTCCCATTTCATGCTTATTATTATTTTTCGCTCTTCAATAGTTAGTTCTTTTCTAGGCATTTAAAAAATACTTTCTTTCACTAGTTGCACTAAGCAAATGCTTTTGGAAATGTGGAAAGTACCGTTATTATTTTTAAAATTTTAAAATTTGACAAAACTCTAAATAGTTGCCAACTATTTTACTAAACGATTTTATCCCATAAATGATGTGTAATATCAGCTCTGACCAGGGGTACCATGACTTATGCTGTGTAAAAATTTGGAGTTGACACGATCTTGATTTTTTATGGCTTGTTGGAACAAAAAAATTAAATATTACTTTCCATTGTTGTAGTATAGGAGTGAATACATAAAATATAAATAATTGTTTTTAATTTTGTAAATTATTTTTTGAGTAATTACTGAATATTTTTTTATTTGTATGGGGTACCATGACTTTTGCTGCTCACTGTATAGGTTCCGTCCCTCTATTCGATATATTAAAGGTTTTATTGGTCTCATTTTCCAAGCGATGTGGCTATACGTAGGCATATCGACATTTCGAAGGTCAGAAAGCTATTGCGAGAAAGTTATCAATGTTGCGGCGTAGCTGTGTCGATTTGCTAAAAAGTTTAGAAACAATGACAGTGTAGTTGTGGTGCAACCAATAAAGTTTAACTTTTCTATCAAAATCTTATGCGTACCTGAACTCCTTCTGCTTTAAGGAATTTTGAAGCTTCTAGGCATATTTTCCAACCGATATGTCTGTAATTGTTTCAACAATTCTAAAAGTTCACGAACGCTTCACTGAAAAGAGCGACTGAACTTGGTCTTACAAAGTCTATCTTTTTGGTTCTTTGAAAGATCGAACGAAAATAATAGTTCCTTTTAGTTCAAAGAAGAGATGTTTGCTGTCACATTTCGATTTGAAAGCGACGATCCTGAAAGCATATCATCGCTTTTTTTCTCGTACTCTTCATTTCTAATATTGGAATTCAACAATTCTTATTATTATTTTTTTAATAAAATCCTCTTTGTATATTTTACAGGCAACACAGAAAAACCATGCTCACTCTACTCATCTCAATCGCATCAGTGTAGTGACATCCGAGAAGAAGGATCCCGAACAAGTATTTGCACGTTTTGTGCAAATAAAATAAATAAATGTTAAACAAATCTATCATATTGTAATTTAAGAAATTTAACATAGCGTGTATAATAATTGAAAAATAAATTAAAGTCCATTTCCAAAATTTTTAGGATAATATAAAAAATGTAAGAAATCTTCAGAAATTTTATTATTATAAAGCTCTCATATATGATCCAGAATGAACTAGAATATTGTATAATACATTTAGTTATAAAACAAATTAAAGTCCATTGAATCTTACAAAAATTATATTTACAATTATTTACTCGAAAAAAATGGCCGCGTTCTCAGCAGTATAGAGCTCTTATTTCAGAAAATTGTCAGTAAAAATTGTTACTAATATCGAGGCAAGTTTAAGTTTTCAGTAAATTTAGAAAACAAAATTAAGGAAAAACTATTTCCAAACAAATTCCATGAACTAGCCTAACAGTTGTACAATTAAGTACTATAATGGTAAAAAATTATGTATGAAGTGTCGGTAATACTGTTAATGATAAAACTGTTATTATTCTGGTTGTGGAATCTGATAAGGTTCTGAATTAATCACAACTAGTACTAAAAAATAATTTCATATGCTTAGATATAATTTTTATAAGTGGAGATCCCATAGAGTTATTGTTTTGATCAGAATAAAATTCTGTGTCTCTTATTTTGTTGTGCAATATAAATTCATGTATATTTTTTGCAATAATTATTTGAAAATGATGAAGAGAAATTTTACACCTGATCAATTTAGGCCTGTTATATGGGGGCTACACCAAAAAGTGTAAGTTTTAGTAGGAAGTGTAAGTTTAGTGAGAATCCAAAGAACCAAATCACAGCTTATACGTTTGAAACACAGTATGTCAAAAATGAATTTACACATTGAATAAAAAATACTACTTTTCCAATTTAGTTAGTAATACTCGCCAAAATCATTATTAAAATTCATATAAATATTTACTTTTTATATTATCGATTACATATTATTATTCATTATTACTTCATACATTTACATTTTATTCTAAACAAACTCATTTATTACAAATAGTCTCCAAAAACTATATTTTTATAAACTACAGATATTAGGTCTGAGAATCTACTACTTTCTACTAAGATAACGAATTTTTCTTTATGATGTCGACAAAAAAAAAATTGTAAAATCAAGTAGATTCTTGCAGTACGGAACAGACCATGGCACAATAAGTAGTCCATTTAGCACAGCTGATGTCTCGATTAACTGTCAAAGTGCGTAATTTCTACTTGAATTCGATGTGCAATGTGCCAACCATGTGCAATATTATATGGACAAATTTTACAGATGGTCGAGAGTGACCCGGTACCCATATTATACGTACAAGACCGTGTCGTGAGAAGTTGTTTATTGTTTTTATGCATTCCAGTACAGTTTTTGATGTAACTGTTTTGGATGTTATTGCATTAATAGCATGTTTACTATCTGTAATGATATTTATGTTATTATGCCCAGAGTTAGGGCTTAGCCATTTTAGACACTCCGTTATAACTTGAACCTCCACCTGTAGGATCGTGTTGTGATCTGGCAGGCGAAGTGAGATTTCAGTCCCCGGTTCTACAATAAAAAGTCCCAGTCCCGTCTTTCCCGCTAGCCGGGAGCCATCCGTGTAACAGCAGTTTCCCGGAGGCATATGTGCTAGTGTTCCGCTGTTCCATGAGTCTCTGTCCGGTATCAGAATTTCACACAATGTGATTACTCTTGTTTCAAGTATTCGATCTGACTCAGTGGTTAATTGAGTGTCTGATCGTAACCTGTCGTATATTTTCGTGCGGTGTGTAGTGTCCGCTGTCGATCCACTCGTTCATGGCTTTAAGTCTTAAAGCTGTGATGGCCGCTTCGTATTTTATTTGGATGTCAACTGGGTGTATATACAATATAGTTTCCAGTGCCCTAGTTGGTGTTGTCCGCATTGCCCCGCATATGCCTATCAAAAATCAGTTTTTGAACATTGTAAAAGGGTTAAATTGTCCAGTCTTGTATGAAATCTTCGTCTGTGGAACCAAGAACACGTATAGACTATTAAATGCATTGATCTCAAATGTTAATTACATATACGTAACCTTAATGACAAATTTGTAGTTATCGATACACAAAATGTATACCATTGTAAAAGAATAAAAGTATTAAATGGATACATACATACATTAGAACTTTTTACCGGGTTAAGTTACTTTATGAGGATTTATTTGACATAAATGCAAAGGAATTGACAATTGAAACCCACTGGGTTAACGAAATCCTGTTAAATGTAAACGTACTATTAGCATTTGGTAATTAAACATACATACATAATGCGGTGTACACACTATCATACTTGTATGGCACTCTTGCCCAAATTTTGCTTGTTTGATAGTGTGGCCTCACATCTTTGTCATTCATCAGGCAACCACAAAAATATTTATGGTTGTTGGACAGTCAGTAATCGATAAAAAAGTTGACAGTCAAAAATGATAGTGTGTACACCGCTTAAAGAATTAGATTTTTCGGAAACCAAAACAACATATCGAAACTGTACAATTTCCAAATAAAAAACCACGATTAACCGATTATTTTCACCACACAAAATGTGACTTTTCGATAAAAGTGTTTGGTAATCGATTACTTGAATACTAACTTCGGCATCCCTAATCATCTACCAACTACCATTTGTCATTGTCATCGCCATTCTTTGTCGTAGTAGTGCATAAAATTCGAACAAAAATAAAATGGTAATAATTTTTACAAGAAATCTTAGCAAAAACATCAAGAATTTGAATTAAAAAACATTGTTTATCAATTAATGAGTGAAAGGAAATAAAATGCATTCGATTTCCGGTGGGAATATGAGAAATAAACCAAAGTGAAATTGCCGGGTGTTAGCTACGGAAAAAAGGCTGAGAATTTGTATTGCGCCGACAGAGGAGCACAATGACCGCATCATTCAATTAAGTTGTGAAAAAAAAGGCATCGGCTAGAGCAGCTGCTGCGATGCCAGCGGCGAGGTATATGTGAATGAGACAGGCCAGGCAGCAAGCAGTGTGTGTGTATGTAGAGTTTAAACGACGATGCACGTGAGAATTTTATTCGAGATAATTCGCAAAAACTATGAATTTTCCAAGTAAATATCAAACATTTTATTCGTAATTTCAAAGAAATTCCATATGGAATGGATTTTTTCATAAATAAAACGGGAAATTTCGAGATATACGGCAGTTGGTGGTAAACGGCGTGTTGGTGTATGATTCATGCATATACACACATTTTACACCCATATATATGAAAAATAGATGCCATAAATGTATGTATTTGGAAACATTCTGACTAATGGATATTGAAATATTTTTTGAAAAGTATTCAATTTAAAAAATAGTATGCGCTTTTGAAAATGTTTTTCCATAGCTTGAGATGAAGTTTTTTTGCCGTATGCAAAATGTTAGGTTATGATGCCGAAAGTCACACTCCTTAAAACGGTTTATGTTAACTTAGGGTTGCCATCGTTGCCAATGAATAAGTTCATATGCTGCTGGGCTGCCGGCAAAAATGAAAATGTGTCCTGTCGCCCTTTTTTCGTACAACAACAACACCCAACGATTTGACTGACAGTACAGTAACTGCCAAAAGATCAATGACATTTTATTTCCTATCACAGCACAGCTGTTTATATTTTGCTACCCTCCTTGTGCCTTTTAATCCTTCATCCCCCATTGTAATAATGCGTGTGTGTGTGTGTGTGTTTTTTTTCTATTTTTAGGAGATGTCATTAAATCCCGTCCGTGTCCTCAAAAATGAGGCACAGGAAGAAAAGGCCGAAATGGCGCGTTTGTCATCATTCATCGGTGCTATTGCCATTGGTGATTTGGTGAAAAGCACCTTGGGCCCCAAGGGTATGGACAAAATTCTCGTGGCTCATGGTCGCCAAGCTGGCAAAGTGGAAGTCACCAATGATGGTGCCACCATTTTGAGAAGTGTTGGTGTCGACAATCCAGCCGCCAAAATTTTAGTCGATATGTCTCGTGTTCAAGATGAAGAAGTTGGCGATGGCACCACTTCGGTAACAGTATTGGCCGCCGAACTGTTGCGTGAAGCTGAAAAGTTGATCGATCAAAAGCTTCATCCACAAATTATTATTGCCGGTTGGCGTATGGCTACAAAAATTGCCCGTGAAGCTCTCACACAAGCATCACAAGATAATTCCGCCAATGATGCCAAATTCAAGGAGGATCTTATGAATATTGCCCGCACTACATTGTCCTCGAAGATTTTACATCAACACAAGGATTTCTTTGCCAAGTTGGCTGTCGATGCTGTTTTGCGTTTGAAGGGTTCCGGCGAACTGCATGCCATTCAAATTATCAAAAAGACTGGTGGTACACTGGAAGATTCGTTCTTGGATGAAGGTTTCTTGCTGGACAAGAAGCCCGGTGTACATCAACCACAAAGGGTAAGTTCAAGGAATTATTTTAAAAATTGTTGTGGTGTATTTTTCAATAATTGTTTTTCCACAGTTAGAGGAAATATCCGTGGACGCTATCGACGCGTCGAAGTGGTTGTGAATTATGTTGCATTTTTAATATACATATCACAGCCATTTTGACGAGTTCGATGGAGTTTCGAAAGTCATCATGGAACAATTAAAAAAATGAGTGTGTGTCTAACAAAAAATAGTCTAAATGGGAATAATTAGCATAATATTAAAATAATAGGATCTTTGTAGACGAACAGAGAGTTTTCATAGAGTTTTCATAGGCGAACTGAATGGAGTCTTTATGGACCTCTTGGAGTCTTTATGGACCTCTTTATAGACGAGCTGAAGGGAGTCTTTATAGACGAGCTGAAGGGAGTCTTTATAGACGAGCTGAAGGGAGTCTTTATAGACGAGCTGAAGGGAATTTTTATAGACGAGCTGAAGCAGGGAGTCTTTATAGACGACCTTCTACCTAAAAAAGTCAAAAGGAAATCTCTGAGCCTTTATAGACGAGCTGAAGGGAGTCTTTATAGACGAGCTGAAGGGAATTTTTATAGACGAGCTTTAGGGAGTCTTTATAGACGAGCTTTGGGGAGTTTTATAGACGAGCTGAAGCAGGGAGCCTTTATAGACGAGCTGAAGCAGGGAGTCTTTATAGACGAGCTGAAGCAGGGAGTCTTTATAGACGAGCTGAAGCAGGGAGTCTTTATAGACGACCTTCTACCTAAAAAAGTCAAAAGGAAATCTCTGAAGACCAAATCAAAATAGGGTCTCCAAAGACGGTCAAAATGTAGTCTATAGGACATGGAGTCTCTAGCAACCTTCTAAATGGGGTATTTAGATACCATCAGAATGGATTCTGTTTTTATGATCAGGATTCTGTTTCTGTTAAAGCAGATTATTTTTGGACCATTTGAAATATTTTCTTTTCTAATATTTGTACAAAAACGATTTTTCCATTTTAATGTTCACATATCCCCAATCTTTATTATCTCTGATTTTTCTTATTTGGTTTCCAGATTGAGAAAGCCAAAATTCTCATTGCCAACACCCCGATGGACACAGATAAAATCAAAGTGTTCGGCAGTACCATTAAAGTTGATTCTCTAGCTAAAATTGCCGATTTAGAAATGGCCGAAAAGGAGAAAATGAAGGACAAAGTCCAAAAGATTCTCAGTCACAATTGTAATGTGTTCATTAATCGTCAACTGATCTACAATTATCCCGAACAATTGTTTGCCGATGCTGGTGTTATGGCCATTGAACATGCCGATTTTGATGGTATTGAACGTTTGGCTTTGGTCACTGGTGGTGAAATTGTTTCTACTTTTGATAATCCCTCTCTTGTTAAATTGGGTGAATGTGATTTGATCGAACAGGTTATGATCGGCGAGGATACACTCTTGCGTTTCAGTGGCGTCAAGCTGGGTGAAGCCTGTACCATTATTATTCGTGGTGCTACACAACAAATTTTGGATGAAGCTGATCGTTCGTTGCATGATGCTTTGTGCGTTTTGGCTGCCACAGTTAAAGAGTCTCGTGTCATCTATGGTGGTGGCAGTTCGGAGGCATTGATGGCCACCGCTGTTTTCAAAAAGGCTGCTGAGACACCGGGCAAGGAAGCCATTGCTATGGAAGCTTTTGCACGTAAGTTTTGCGACAAAAAACAAATATGATTATGGTAAAATAACTTGTATTAATTTTTTTTATTGATCTTTCCAGGTGCCTTATTGGCCTTACCCACCGCCATTGCCGACAATGCTGGTTACGATTCTGCCCAATTGATTTCCGAATTACGTGCTGCTCATGCCCAAGGCAAGAGCACCATGGGTCTAGATATGGACAAGGGTAAAGTTGGTGACATGAAGGAGTTGGGCATTACCGAATCCTTTGCCGTTAAACGTCAAGTTCTAATGTCTGCCTCTGAAGCCGCCGAAATGATATTGCGTGTAGATGATATCATTAAATGTGCCCCCAGAAGACGTGTACCCGATCGTGGTTATTGTTAAACAAATCGACGTCCTTCTGTCTGTCCCTTCATCATCCTATCTACATTATTATCTATCTACACAAAAAAAACTCATGTTCTCTTTACATTTAAAACAAACAATGTGTTTATATTAATTTTCTCTTGTTAAAACAAAAAAATGTTTATTTTATTAACCACACAACAACAAACAAACAAAATACACAAAAACTATTAAAACTCCTACATCATCGTATTATATTAAGCTATGCCTTCAGTACTTTTTATTTCAATTTTTTTCTTCTCATTTGCGTTATTTTGTTTTTTAATAAAGTGTGGGCGTGTGCCGTATTCAGGTTGGGCAAAGCTAAAACTTTTTCGGCACCACACTATTCTCTATTGTTTTTTTAACAAACCAAAACATTTTTATTTTCCTTCTTTAACGCTACACAAATTTTAAATGTGTCTTAAATTATATGAAAAAAGCAAAAAATTAAATAAAAATATGTATTTTTAATACACTAAAATTCAAATTTGTCTTTATTTGAAAAATTGGCTGCCCGCTCATACGCACGAACAAAGATTATTATAAGTTATTTTTGTAATAACGGTTATGTATGGAAATATATAAATGCTATGTGGAAAATAAATAACATGCATTGCCCAGAAGCAAACAAAAAAGAATTCACATATATTTATTTAAAAAAATATATATGAATGAAATAGGTTCCAGTTGTAAGTGGCAATAACTCAACAATAATTTTCAGGTCAAGTTTATGTCCCTTCCAACGCTTCTTGCCACTATTTCGTAGGGTAAACATCTGTACGGAATGAACGGAAGTCAGACGGGTATACACAAGCGTGGGTATATACAAGCGAGGCTTCTAAGACCATCTTAAACTGACACTTTGACAATAATAATTACAAGTCGTACTCCTAATCCCATTCTCAGAGAAGAGAAATACCCCCTTGGCATGTCACGCTTGATTGGAATTCCCATAACGTATCGAGAACAACTAGAAAATCCTGGCGACGAGCACTAACCCAAGAATTAAGAAGATGTGAGGCAGGGTGGCTACCAATTTCGTGATTTTTTCATTGTAGAGAGCCTGCATATTAGTTATAATGATAGTCGCTTTGGCTATGAAGGTTGGCAGGTTTGCGGATCTAGCGTGGCAGTTGGTGTTGGCCCTTCGAGGAGCATTAGACTGGAGGTGGTTTATACCCAAATCGTGGGTAGAGCTGTGGATCGGTGTGGGTAATACTGCTAGGTAGGTACACACGTACTCTAAGCATCTCTGCCCATCTACACAACCAAATGTTGATTGGTGTTATCGTCGAGAACACCCCTGACATGGCCTTTTGACAGGCTATCCCCATCCAGTTCTTCATGATATAGAGAGCATAGCTAAGATCATCATGATGCAAACGTCTCAATTCCCCTGGTCGCTATACCTAATATATAATGAAATTAGTACTATAAACTCACGAAAGTGGTAGCACATTTAGTGGTGGATCCAAGGGTTTCCCATCGTCGGACTTTATCTAGTTTTGGTAAAAGTAATAATTTGGGCAATAGTAAGTAATAGTTCGGTTCAAATCGGATAGTCCGTTCGCATGATATTAAAATTATTTTCATAAAAATGTTGACCAATTTTTGGGGGAGGTATCACAAGGAGTGGACCGATATTCCCCATATTCGAATTTGGAAGAAACATAGCTATGTGTAAAGTTTGAATGAAATCGGTTACTCCTTTCGGGAGTTATCGTGCGCACCACCCAGCGAGACAGGCAGACTAACATTTGTAAATCGACTCCAAATTGTCTGAAATGGATTTGGACCAAAGAAACGTGGGGCCTGAAACTAATATTTCCATGAGGCAAATAGTATACATACATATATCCTCAATAGACATGAGCCTTAGGGTATAAAAATTAAATGTATTTCATATAATTATTTCAAATATCAATTCATTATTTGAAACATCACGACTTTCTAATCCCCGCAAACCACACAAGTGAGTAATATTAGAAAACAACCCTTAACATAAAATTCTTACCTTGAAGAAAAGCTCATGTCACATTTTCTTACTCGCCTAAGCTCACTCATTGCTCTCAATGATGATCAAACGACGACAACTGCACCGACAGCGATTGTTCTGACGACCGAGGCTGACACGAAAAACGAAACAAATTAAACCACGAAAAATGGCAAAACACATCTTTATTTAACACAACATTTTATTTTGGTAATAAATAATTCTATTTTCAATGATTTGACAAATTCAATTGAAACACTTGAATCAGAAACACATTTTCACTTTGCCAATTACTTGATTTACAAGGAGGAATTCAAACATTAATAATGACGACATAGGGACAAAAGAACACAAATGTACAAAGAAAATAACGAACACTGAAAATAGTTGGGCGAGAAATTTGAAAAAAGGAACTACGTACAAAGCTAAAAACGCGATAAAATTTACAGTTTTAATAAAAATATCGGATTCACTGAATTATATTAAAGCAATTATGAAAGTTTACAGATGATGAATGATTAAATTACGAAAAACACAACTCGCGAAACTCCTGACAAAACACTCGCGCCCGGCTTAAATGAAAATACAAAATAACTGAAGAGTAAATAATTGTAGAGTTGCCATAATCAATGTTATTAAATCAAAAATGGGATGGTGGATGGACTTCATTTGGCTTAGCGTTTTAAGGAGTAAATAATTTTTATTTTAAATACTGAAAGTGTCATTGTAACTTTCAAAAAATTCACTCGCGAATGAATTAAAATACATTATTTTTGTTTTGTGCTCATTTTACGAATGAATTTATGGCGATAAATTCTTTACCAAACGAGCATTCGCCAAAGAATTTTCGCACAACCATAACAAACGCCAATTTAGATTAGGCGAGTTTACTTGCGGCAAGGGGAATATAAATGGAAAATGCTCGTACCGACAATTTTCTGGCAATTCGTTTTGTGTATTTCGTATTTCTTGACATTTTATAAATATTAAAATGTGAAAAAACTATTGACATCAAATGAAAAAAGAAATATTTTTGAAACCGAATTGCCTTGTATAGCGACAACTTCATCTGGAACCTCTCCAAAGATGGTCAACTCTTTGGGAAAACATATACCTTATATAAAGCGAATAATAAAACATGTATTTTACTCCGTATACCACCGCAAACCATAGTCCATGGTACAATTACAAAAGGTAACAGCAAAACCCAGCTAATTTGATTCCAACGCAATACTAGTGTCAATATGAATATGACAAATTATGTTTTTAAGAATCGCCCAACAGGAAAATTGGGAACGCATGCAATTCGAAATTGTTCTTTATTAAATGTCCTCCCGTATTCAATTTACTCAATCTGCCTGCTGGGAAAGTTTGAGGAAACAAATCTTTCTTCATGGAATAACTCGCAATTCCCAGCATTTTCGTGCATGTTACACATATAAGTGGCAATGGCTCAATTATAGGAAAGATTAGAAGCGATAGAAAAGTAAATTTGATAAATTTTCATTCATATTTTCCAATTTTATTTTGAGGATTCGAAAGTATTACATTTTCAAAATATTTTTAATTTGTTTGTTTGTTTACATTTTTCTGTCAAATAACGTTGACACTAGTATAACTTACAATAACAAATTTCAATGTGGTTGTTGTATCGTTTGTTGAACAACAACACTTGCTGTTACCTTCTATTATTATTGTGTTTTGTGTTTTTACACGATATGTATTTTACATATGTGCTGTCACTTTATTTACATATGGAAATCGGACTCGTCATGTGAAACATACGGAAATTTCAATGTGTCAAAACGATATGCAATTACATATGGATTTTTTCCGAATAGGACGCGCTCTATTTTCATATGTAAAACATAAGGAAATCAGCTGTTTGAATGAAACACACTGTTGGAAGAAAATATTTCAATTGCAAGTCAAGGAAAATAATGAAAAGGCAACAATTACAAATTATTATTTCGTTTGTAGGTGTTTAATAAAAAAAATATTTTGATTTAAGAAAAAATAAAAGTATTTTTTGTTTATAGGTTATGTCATATGTAAAATACATATGCCGATTTGAACACAAAAAATAAAAGTTTTGTGTACGCTGCTAATGTTGACACACATAAGGAATTACATATGGATGAAATAAGTGACAGCACATATGAAAAATACATATCGTGTAAAAACACCATTAGACCATGACCATAGTCGTTGGGTATATATCTGTCGGTAACACCGACTGGCATTTATTTATTTTTTGTACAATATTTTTCGGTTACTTGACCCTATGGTTAATTGGTTTCTACGCTTAATTGAACTACATGACGGGGTAAAAATGTATTGCATACAAAAACACATGAACATTTCCTCGGATAATTAAACCCTGTTAATTGATTTTCCCGCTTAATTGCTTCAAAATCCATGTCATCAAAAATAAACTTCCTCTTACTGTTCACCGGTTATGCATTACCGGCCACACCGACTGACACTTATTTATTTTTGTTGTACTTTTCCCGCAATCCAAATACAGTATTTTTCGGTTAATTGGCCCATACGGATAATTGGTTTTTACGCTTAATTGAACCAAATGATGGGGGAAAAATTAATTGCATATGAAAACACATACATATACATTTTCTTGGAGCATTATTATTGAAAAATAATCTGGCATTCAGTTCTCATCTGACAGTTGGTGAGCAAACATCGTTTTGTTCTTAAGCAATTGTGTACTTAAATTCATTGTTTTTTTTTTGTATTATTAAATTTGTAAGTCTTCAACAAGTGGAAAATTTTCCATCATGATATCTAAAACAAAAAAAAAATGTATTCCACGTTTCATAAATACAGTATAAACTCGATAATCCGGACCTCGCTAATCCGGATTATTCGGTAATCCGGACTGCATTTCACAATTAATTGCGTATCCTATAATCCGGATTGTTTGCAACATGATAATCCGGATTGTGTTCAAACATTATTTATTTTGTTTTTTTTTTTATTGAAGTCGTAGCATGCCATGAAAATACAGTTAGAATTATGAGCAGCGAATGTTTTGTTGTTGCACATTCTTTCTCAGTTCAGTAGTTTTGCACGATGCCTTCAGTAAAGAGGTCACACAAAACATTATCTATTTTAGATAAAGTGAAAATTGTTGAAAAACTTAATAGAGTTAGTGGAAAAATATTAGCTGACAAATTTGGAATAGGCACATCTACAATTACAGATATTAAAAAGAAAAGTGAAAAGATTAAAAAGTGAGTAAATGTTTCTTATATTATTCAAACTTACAACACTGTTTACCTTTCATATTTGCAAAGACTTCTAATCGGAAGTTATTACAAAAACGCGAAACTCTAGAAAAATGTTTATCTAATTCGCGGCAAACAACTGTACTTGATTACTATACCGAAAAAAATTTATGCCGATTTATGTTAACTTTCAAATATATATTTAATTTGCCTGTACCTATTATATTTTAAGTTTATTTTTTTGAAATTGATTTCTTTTTTAATAAAAACAAAAAAGTATTTAGAATGACATTAACATTTGGAAAAAACTCGATAATCCGGAAATCTCTGTAATCCGGATTTGGGTCTGCAATCAATTATCTGGATTAACGAGTTTTTACTGTACCAAGGTTAATTGTTCACTTTTTCGTTTCTAAGTTAAGACTTAAGACATAAATAATGAAGCTTCTAATATTAAAAAGCAAAACCAATATGGTTTAATAGTGATTTGGCAAATTTAATTCGCAGCAGACAACGTGCATGGAGGGTATTTAGTAAATTGTAATTGTTAAAGAACCTGCAAACTGGCCAAAAGACTGAAGCGAAATGAATTTTTAAATTCTCTGAACGTTCGTTCCTCACCCCTTACAGTAATTATTTATAAAATCAACGATAACTCTTTGTGCAAAATATTAGAACGTCAACTAGGACTCAACTTTGTGGGAGTATTTTACGACAATATATTCGCTGTTTCTTATGGAGGCCAACAGCAAATGGAATCTCACTTAGAAAACTTCAAATCAAGCAGTGCAGGACTGGGCAAAATGTGTTTTTCTTATATAACATGTTCTTATATCCGTGGTCTACTTTACAACCTGTTTTTGTAAATGTAAAATGTCCATTCGTTCGTCGAAAAAACGAACGATTACTCATTTTGGTTTTCGCAAACAAATTACCGGTTGTAGTGAGTGAGAAATAGGAAAGAGCTTTTGGTATTCGTATTTTTTTGGTTTTTGTTATACAAAACGGTGCGTTATTTACGAACAAAAATGTCAAAAACAAACGAAGAGAAAATACCATTCGTTTAAAAAAAATAATAAAGAAAACTATTTGTTCATTACAATTTGTGTGTTGTTAGTGAAAAGAACGCAACAAATATGGAAAATACTGATGAAATATATAAGAAGAAATGGTTTGTAAAAAATTATATATCCCTATGAAATGTAAAAAATTATATTGAATTGTTTGAACCCCTAGCAACAAAAGGACAACGATTGCCCAATTCCAAAAATTGGTTGATCTCATGGAACTTTACCCACAATTAGCAACTGGCCGTCCTGTTTTCGGATCCAATAAATTTGAAGTGGATAACAAGTGGAATAATGTAGCTGTATCATTAAATGCCATAGGTATTCTCCTTTGGGGAATATTTTGCTTTTCTTTATAATTAAAATTAATTGCAATCGTACCAAACATTTTGAATTTTCTATTTTGACACTTTTTATGTAAAAAAAAACTGTTTGTAAACAATAAACAGAGTTACCCTCATTTTGCAATAATTCTATTGGAAAATATGCAACAAGACACCAAAAGAAACACTTTGGCACTAATGGTTAAAAACGAATGAAAAAGCTCAATCGTTTCTAGACGAAAGCTTTTACAATTATTACAAAAACCAAATTTTCGACGTATACGTTTTAATACGAACGATACGTGTGACTGCCGGAACAAATTACAAAAATAGGCTGTTAGTGTAATTTACACATAACCTGCAGGTCTTAAGTCAACCAGCGCTTTACAGCCTGTTTTTGTAAATGTAAAATGTCCATTCGTTCGTCGAAAAAACGAACGATTACTCATTTTGGTTTTCGCAAACAAATTACCGGTTGTAGTGAGTGAGAAATAGGAAAGAGCTTTTGGTATTCGTATTTTTTTGGTTTTTGTTATACAAACGGTGCGTTATTTACGAACAAAAATGTCAAAAACAAACGAAGAGAAAATACCATTCGTTTAAAAAATAATAATAAAGAAAACTATTTGTTCATTACAATTTGTGTGCTGTTAGTGAAAAGAACGTAACAAATATGGAAAATTCTGATGAAATATATAAGAAGAAATGGTTTGTAAAAAATTATATATCCCTATGAAATGTAAAAAATTATATTGAATTGTTTGAACCCCTAGCAACAAAAGGACAACGATTGCCCAATTCCAAAAATTGGTTGATCTCATGGAACTTTACCCACAATTAGCAACTGGCCGTCCTGTTTTCGGATCCAATAAATTTGAAGTGGATAACAAGTGGAATAATGTTGCTGTATCATTAAATGCCATAGGTATTCTCCTTTGGGGAATATTTTGGAATTGGGCAATCGTTGTCCTTTTGTTGCTAGGGGTTCAAACAATTCAATATAATTTTTTACATTTCATAGGGATATATAATTTTTTACAAACCATTTCTTCTTATATATTTCATCAGAATTTTCCATATTTGTTACGTTCTTTTCACTAACAACACACAAATTGTAATGAACAAATAGTTTTCTTTATTATTATTTTTTAAACGAATGGTATTTTCTCTTCGTTTGTTTTTGACATTTTTGTTCGTAAATAACGCACCGTTTTGTATAACAAAAACCAAAAAAATACGAATACCAAAAGCTCTTTCCTATTTCTCACTCACTACAACCGGTAATTTGTTTGCGAAAACCAAAATGAGTAATCGTTCGTTTTTTCGACGAACGAATGGACATTTTACATTTACAAAAACAGGCTGTTAATCTATATTTTATAAATTAATTTATAAAAACTTTGCAAATAAATAATCTGGCATTTTTTTACATACATATTTGACGTCATTTGTGAAAACCCCAATGTGGCATCTCTACTAATTGAAAACATATGTTTTTTGTTTAGGAAAAACCGCGAGAAAGCGTAAGTTTTTAATTTGTATTTGACAATAACATTGGAAATTAATTTTATGCTATTGTTAATTTTTGTAGATTATGAGTGGAAAACGATATGTAACTCTTACACTTAAGGATAAGCTTGAAATTTTATCTGAAGCTAAATACAAGCAGAAGTCTGAGCTGTGCAAAATGTACGGGTGCTCTCTTACCACATTGAATAGAATTTTGCGGAATGAGTCCGAAATAAAGTCCAAAGCATCCAAGTGGAAATTGTCAAGCAAGCGTGAACGAAATGGAAACAATATTGACGTTGAAAGAGCACTTCAAATTTGGTTCGAACAAATGCAATCATCTGGTGCAGTGATTTCAACAAACATGTTGATGGAAAAAGCGCAGCAGTTGGCTCAGCAAATGAATTGTGATTTTACCCCATCGACAGGTTGGTTATGGCGTTGGCAACAGCGGCAAGGAATTAAGCTCAGAAAAATACATGAAGAGCAAAAATCTGCGGATTCAAATGCGGCAGAAGAATTTTTAAGTTCAGTTGTACCAAATATATTATCAGAATACGAAGAGGCCGACATTTTCAACGCAAATGAGAGCGCTTTATTTTTCAAAGCATTGCCTCCAAAAAGCCTTTACAAACAGGGATACTGTAACACTGGTTTCGAGTCATCTAAGGAGCGCGTAACATTACTTTTTATATGCAATGCCACGGGTAATTACAAAAAAGTTATTATAATTGGAAAGGCTAAAAACCCACGTTGTCTGAAAAGCAGTATATTGCCCTTAAAATACTATTCGAATCAAAAAGCGTGGATGACAGCAGATCTATGGCATGAAATTATACTTAATTTAGAAGAAGAAATGTCTTCACAGAAACGAAACATTGTTCTGTTTGTAGATAATGCGTCTTGCCACAAGAAGCCCCAAAATTTAAAACACATAAATCTACAATTTTTCCCGGCAAATACCAAAGCAATAACCCAGCCCCTACATCAGGGTATAATTCATGCCTTCAAGTCATATTACAGACAGAATATTGTTAGAAAACTGTTTGTAGCTATGGAGCTGGGGAAAACAGTTGAAGAGTTTTCAGAGTCAATTAATATTCTACAAGCAATGCATATGATAAAGCACAGTTTTGAGATGGTTAAACCAATGACTATTAAAAAATGTTTTAAAAAGGTATTAAACTATCATATTTTGTTATTCATGTTAGTAATGCTAGATGTAATTTTACAGGCGAAATTAGTGAAGACGTCCCCCGAAGATGAAGATGATGTGGAAACTGAAATTTCCGATGACTTTGAAATAACGGACAATTTAAGAGAAGAATTTGAAGAATTCGTAACATGTGACGACAATGAAGAATGTAATGGAATGCTTACTGATATGGAAATTATTGAACATATTTGGGGTGCGGTTGAAGTTAAGGAGGAAGAGCAAGAACATGACAGTCCCAAACCTCCATCTGTTCTAGAAGCTTTAAAATACATACAAGAACTTCAGACATTTTTTTGTGCCGATAACAAGTTCCTGTGTGAGTTAGATAATATGGAGTCTTATATTTTTTCAAGTAAATTAGAAAATACACAAATGAAAATTACAGACTTGTTCAAGTAATTCTTTTAAAATGTAAACACAACGCGTTTATTTTATTTTCCTTATTTAAATAATGATCTCGAAACGTGTGAATGTGTACAACATGAATTTATTTGTCCTTTTTGTTTGTTTTTTTTTTAAAGCAAATTTGTATTTTAGTGCAAATTTTGATGTGCGATTAACCGATAAATATACTGTACCGATACCTATTGAGAAAGATTCAGGTTTTTATCTCTACTCGTTAATCAAGTAGCTGAACGTCTTCCTCATAGCTGAAGGTCACAAAAAAGCTGAAGATCTTCTTTATTGTAGAAGAGCAGAATGTCTTCTTTGTCATGGAGGGGCTGAAGGTATTCTTCTCCGTATTAGAAGAACTGAAGGACTTCTATTGCTGGGTGTGTTGTGGGTCTAGTGTTGTGCTAAATTGAGAGTTAATTTGGTGAGCGTAACTAATATAGGGAAAGATAACAAATGAGAAAACGTTTTGAACCATTTACGAATGATTTTCGGAAGTTTTGAGCATCACTGGTCTAGTCTAAACTCATTTTGTTGTGTACATTTTGATGTGCAATTAACCGGTAAATATACTGAACCGATCACTATTGAGAAAGATTTAGGTTTCAATCTCTACTCTTTAATCAAGTAGCTCATAGTCTTCTTCATAGCTGAAGGTCACAAAAGAGCTGAAGAATTTTTTTTATGATAGCTGAATGACTTCTTTGAAGGGCTTTTAAAGAAGGACTGAAGGTCTTCTTCTCCGTCATAGAAGAACTGAAGGACTTCTATGGCCTAGTCCATATTTTATAGTAATCGAAAAATACAATTTAATTTAAAATGTTCAAAACATCAAATTTATTTACGTTTTTTTTTTCTAAAAACTGCATTGACATCTCGTGATCATATTGGAAGAAATTCATGCAAAATACATTTAAAAATTGACTAATAACTATTACAATAATAAAACAAATGTTTGGACCCAATTGAGGGTGGTATAACAAATAAAAAGCAATGTAGTAGAGTTTAACCAGCTTTTCCAAATACATAATACAAACTAAAGGAAAACTGTTATACCTAACACATTGCTTTCGTGGCAATCAAATTGTTGACGTTGTGTAATAATTTTGTTTAGATCCTTAAATAACAATATTTTGTATTAAAATTCTTTTAATAAATTCGAGTTCTTTAATTTCTCTCACACAACAATTCAAATCCAAACACAGTTCGTATACATCCTAATCTGATGTATGTGAAGTAGAAGAGAAAGTTTCAGAAATCAAATAATGAAACGAAACAAAAGAAAACAACTAAAAACTAGAATATAATAATAATTTAAAATTCTGATAACAAAGGGGGGAAGATTAGTACATATTAGCAAATGGCACATTCCATTTCACCATGTTTAGGAACACAATCCAATACCAAGGCCACGGCGCGTGCCATATAGGTCATGGTACCATAACTACCGCTGGGAGCACTAAATGGACAAAAGAGAAAAAACAATATGTTTTTAATCAAAAAAATTATTCCAAGTCTTAAATCTCACCTATCATATAAATGTTGACAGATATAAGCAGCACCACCGCACAACAACATACCCGAAGCAGCTTGATGCTGTTGATTGCCATCTTTGGACTTGGCACAGCACAACGTAGCATCGCCCTGCACTTTACGTTGATCTTCCAAAAACAATTGATTTGCCTTGTGAACCAAATGTTCAACATAGATTATACCACCCAAATTTGGCACCATATTATGTTCAGTGACCAATGTCAGCACCATAAGAGCCTCCACCACGAGTTGGCGATATTCCGGTTGTGGTATTTGATTGAGAGCTGTCTCAACTTCCAATGCAAATTTCAACTCTCCCGGAGTCATTTCTTGTGTCAAACTTTGTTGTAGAATACGTCCTTCGATTGCCAAACCTTGACACTTCTCCAAAACACTCCAAACGCGTGAATAGAAATCTCGTGGTACACGATTTAAAGCACCATCCAAACGTCTACGTCTCAACCATTGGCCTTGACGATCATCTATAGTTGCAATTATAGCATCTTCACCCTCCGGATCACCCAAACCGATTTGGGATTTTTTACTTACACGACTCGATTTGCAACTGACAATCGAGAGATTACCACGGGCAACTGAGGATAAAGAGAGAGGCAAATAACACATCAATTAAATAGAACAAATTTTGAAAAAAGATTATCAAAATTAAATGCCTGATATTAGTAGAAAAGAGAACTGAAGGTCTTCTCATAGTAGATACGAATGTCTTTTCACGGAAGAGCTTCATGATTTCTCATGAAAGAGCTTCAGAACTTCTAATGGAAGAGCTTCTGCTCTTCTATGAAGAAGAAGTCCTTCAGCTCTTCTATGAACTCCTCTATGAGAAGGCATGAAGCTCTTCTAGGATCTCCATCATGAAATGTTTTTAGGGTTAGAATAGACAAATATGTACACTTACCACTGCTCACGGCGAATTCCTTGCCACTCAAGATGTGATATAACAAATTCTTCATTTCAAATGGTGACAAGTTCAAGAGGTGTTCTGAAGCAGCTTCGCCATCACAGTTTAGAGTACGCGATAATTCTTTGGCCATAACCTGAATAATAAGGCCGACACGCAAACGTAACATTTCATGGAACAGTTGGGGCTCTGTGCGTATAAACATGGCCAAGTAGACCATTAACTCTTGCGTTAACATAGCTGTACTTTCGTCATCACCATAGGCCTGAAATAAGAATACCAACAAATCGTATAAGAATATATTTAAATTTAATTGCATTTTTATTCCACTCACATCATGTATCAATTGCCTAAGATCAGCCTCGGGCAACGGAGCCGTTATAGTATATTCATTATTCGGTGGCATACCAACGGTTACTTGTTTTTGACGCACCAATAAATCTGTCACGGCCTTGGCTAAATCCTCAACCCGCTTGCCCAACATACCGGCTGTATGGCGGACCAGACCCCAAAGTTTTTGTTGGCAGGCCTTCTCGTAAAGACCTTTCAGTAGATCACGAACGGTAACGACGCGACCTTCTTCCAGCATTCCTTCGGATTGAGATATATTAATAGTAATGTTGGCATGATTATTATTATTATGGGGCGTAGAAGAATTATTGGAGTTGGATCCATCTATAATCACCACGGGTGGCGGTGGTATGGGAGGCTTTGCAAATAGGGGACTTTTTAAAGCGGTTTCGGAATCAAGAATTTCATCCACAAGTGCGCAATCGATTTCTTTTTTGGTTATTTATTTTTAATATTTTTTGGAGAAGCACATGCAAAAATATATTTTTTCCCAGAATTTTATTGAATTTAAATTTTTATTTTTAAATGACGATGAGAAGGGATGCATTAAAAAAAGCAATAACACAGATTTTTATTATTATTATTTTGTTTTTAATAAAGCATAGTATATAATACCAAAAGTTGAGAAACCCCATCAAACACGTTACACAATATATCGTTATTATTAATGTGCGCAGTTTATTTTAGAAAAATAAGTGGGTGGCACGATGAAGTACAGTATGAAAGAGAAGAAAGAAAATTAATGGTTAAAATTTTTGTTATAATTCAGAAGATATTTGAATATCTGAATTATCGGCAAAGATCTACGGAAACTACTATTAATTTTGTGAGTGTATTTATTGACGTGTTTTGTGTATTTGTTGTTTATAGTTTTGAATTTTAAATATGTTTGTTATAACACACTTCCACTTTGGAACTCAAAAGACACATTATCGTATGGTATCAATTCATTTAAGATGTATTCGCCCATTATTATAAATCATAAATTAAAAAAGAAATAAACAAAAATATTATAATGCTATAAATTAAAAATAATATAAATAATAATATATATTAAATTATTATAAAAAATAAAAATAATATTTATACTTGTTCCTCGCAAAGTTCAGTTAAAATCGGGATAGTCCGTTCGCATAATATCATAACATTAATTTTTAGCAAATTTTTGATATTTTTTTGTGACAGGTATCAGAAGGAGTGGATCAATGGTTTCCATTTTCGAACTTGAGTTAAGTATGAAAGAAATATTACGATGTACACATTTTGCATCAAAACGGACATTCCATACAATTGTTATTGAATAAACAATTTTTTTTAAAGTGTTTGTCCCTGTTAGCACATTGATTACAATAGTTAATTTCTTTCCGATTATTCTTTTTTTTAAATTTCATCTTTACCTTCGGTACTATTTGTAATTGGAAGTATCGGTGATGTACCCATCTTCTCCCTCAATCATGACCCTTTGATTGCGTTTTGGTAGATTGGTTTTAGTAATGTCATATTTGATTTTTTCGAAAGGTTTGTGTTTTAGTCGATCTAGCCACTTCCTTCTGAGACGCAATTTTTTGGCGCTTTCACAGATCACGTTGAAGGTATTGAATGTGGAACATAATTTAACTCCCTTTTCCTGCTAAATTTTTCCATTACCTAAGTAAGGAATTCAAACAGAATCAACATTGTATGAGGAATTGTAGAAATTTCACTGATCGAATTCACTTATAATTAGGTAAGAGTGACAACATTGCCTTATGGACTGACGTCAAGAGAGATCTCCATGATCTACAGAGGGATATTCAAGAGTATAAGCGTAAACCTCTAGATCGATTAACCAATACGGCAAGTCTGAATAGCATTTATTTAGTTCGTAACAAACTTGTGGGGTATCTTCATCATAAAGGTTTTTTCTCTGAACACCGATTAAAATATAGTATTTAAGTCATTTATTATAAAAGTGGTTTAAGTCCATTTTAGGTTCTGATACAAATCTTGGTTAAGAAATGTTTACAAAACATATTACGTTATATATTCTATCAATTTTTAGGGCATAAAGCCACAAACAAAACCAGTAAGGACTGGGCCGATACCCTTCACCAATTCGGGAAATATATTACATATGTGTCCTAACTATTTGCTGTCAATGTTCTCTCGAAGGAACATTGACATGAAATTGAAATAATTTAAATACGTGATCTTTATCTAGAAGTGAACCGACTAAAATCAATCCATACACATGCCTTTCTGCAACATATGCTAAATTTCATTTCATTCGGGCAGATTTAGAGTCGTTTGCTTACAATGAACAATTGTATGTAAATCGATTTATAGCAAACTTAATACGCAAACCCGCTATTCGGTATGGAAGCTATGTCTCCTCACCTCATTATAGTCTCAATTTGATATGTTATGCAAAATTTCGTGTCAATTGGACAAACATTAGAAGTTTGGTGCATCATTTACGTAAAATCGGACGAAGAAAATATATATGGGAGCTATAAAAAAATCTGAGCCGATTTTAACGAAAGTTGGCACACACCATGTGGGAGCTATATCGAAATCTGGGCCATATAAATGAGCTGTGCCAAATTTCATAAAATTCAGATCATAAATGCGACTTGTACTTTGTTTACAATTTAACATGGACAGACAGACAGGACGGGCATGCATAAATCGACTCAGAAAGTCATTCTATGTATATTCGCAAAAGGACAAAAACATAATGCCCTTTACCACAGTCTGGTGAAAAGTATAATTAACACCACTTAACAATATTTTTAAAACAAATCAAACCCAAAAAGTTAAATATTTCAATATAAGAAAATTTGACTTAAACCACTTTCAAGATTCTAGATTCTCGTATACGAAAACAACTCATTATAATGAATATAAACAACTCATTTGTCACTTTTAATACTCAAATGGGGCCGAATCGTCATGTCAAGTATGTCCAAATAATATTTTTTCAGAGATCTTATTTTTTATGCAATATATACAGTGACGAGCAGAAATGAGTACATGTTTGTACATTGGACACTTTTTACGTCATAAAAATATAAAAGCAAATTCCAAAATTTTGGTTGTATTTTATAACGTATTTGGTACCTAACACATCAACCTAAAGTTAAATAATTTAACTCTTTAATTTCTAAGAAAAAAAAAACAGAGCAAAGTAAATTAACTCCAATGTACTCACTTTTGCACTTTTGAACAAATTTGCAGAATTTGAATATTTTTATTAATTATAACGCAGTTTTATATTTTTAATGTATGATTTATGAAATTTGACATATTTTCAACCAATTTTAGTACAATTTCATTGGAATTATTCTTCCAATCACTTCAGATTCACTACCAAAGTTCGTCTATATTATTAGGGGCTGATTGGTACTGTCCCACCTCTCTCTGTGCGATTGGCCCCAAATTATCGATCGGATTGATGTCGAAACTTTGTGCTGACCACTGTGTTAATTCAAAATTTTGCTCACGAAGATATTCTCTCACAAATTTTGACGTATATCTTTGATCACCATCCTGCTCATAATAACTTCTTCTACAGAATAGGCGTACTTAGCTATCTAAACTGAATGATATGACTCTTCAATGATCTAAATTGACTTCTTTCATTATTATATTGTCAATTTTTTTAACATCGGTCCAGGACCCACAAGTTAAAGCCTACGCATACCATGACAATTCCTCAACCGTGCTTCACATTGGGCCTTTGAATTAGTTTTCATCACCAATAATGCTTATCGTCGGATTGAAAACGGTAGAATTTGGATTCGTCGGACCCGATCGCACGTTTCCAGTCGAACTCACTTCAACTTTTGGTCTAGTTGAAAAGTCTTTAACCTTATTTTGCAGTTTTTTCCTATAATACAGGCTTTTAGTCTTTTTTTAATGCTGCTATATCCAATGTCGGAAAGGGCTTTTCACGCTGTTCAATGACTAACAGTTTTGACGAGTACTTACGAAGCATATTTTGGTGTTAAAACTTATCAAATAACATTTCCCTTATCATTAGACGTGGGTCCACACAACTTATAAGCGGTGTACGACCTCTAATTTAAGGATTGGGAAAAACGGAACATCGTTTTTGTACCCATATGACCAATAATTGACACAATTTAATTCCCTTTGCAATTTCCAGGGTAGAACAGATTTTTCAGATTTTTCCGAATGTCCTCTTCAGTGGTTATTATATATATTTTTTCTTGAATTATTATTAAAACAAAAATCAAATAAATAATTATTTGATTTTTGTTCAAAACTTTGTACAATTTTTAGTAAACGGGACTTAAATGATGTAAAACTTATATATTTTCTTAAAAAAAACTAATAAAAACCAAAAAAAGATTAAAAAAATGTGATTTTGCATTCCTTTTTCTGCACATTATTAAAGAAATGAACGTGCAAAAGTGAGTACATTGGGGTTGATTTCGTTTTCTTTGTTTTTTCTTAGTTATTTTTAAGATTTAGATTTTTAAATTTAGGTTGTTTTGTTAAGTACAAAATACCCAATAAAATGCAACCAACATTTTTGAATTTGCTTTTTTAGTTTTATTTTTATGACGTAAAAAGTGTCCAAAATGCAAACATATACTCGTTTCTGCTCGCCACTGTATATATATATATATTTGGTTCATTACAATTTTTAAAGAATATTTCTTTCAAAAGGTCAACCCAAGCGTGGATCTTTTAAAGAATATTTTTTCAATAGGTCAACCACAGGCGTGAATTTTTTAAAGAATATTTTCAAATATCATAAATAGTAGGTTTGTTAATGATACTTTTTCAGGGTCTATTAAAATCAAGATTTCGTAAAAAATGTATTTTAGAGCGTGAATTCATTTACAAGTTTCAAAATTACAATTTATAATAAAAATTAATATAATTTACAAAAATTTGAATGATATATAAATAATTACAATTTGTAAGTAATAAACATTTATAGTATACAAATATAACGTTTAACATTATAAATATTAATTATAAAATAATAACGGGCGAAAATGTTCATATTCCTTCCTTGAATAATTCAATAATATCCTGATATATTGAAATTATTAGGAGAAAATCATCTGTGACTTCGACATTTAAGATTTAAAATATTCAATTCTACAATTCAAATTATTGTTGTGTTAAGAAGTTGTAAATGTGTTTTTTCTTCAATCTGTGTAATATTGTATTGGTGCACAAAAAAAAATGAAAACATTTGCTTGAGGGGCAATAGGGGATAGGGGAAACAACATCACCTTGTATATGTAAATACAACAATAACAACACAACATAAAACATATTTAACCACATAAGAAAAAATATATTGAGAAAAACAAAACCAATTACATGGAAATACCGCATAAGTATCTAAGTTTTTAGTGCATTTTGTGCAAGTGGATATTTTGGGAAGAGAGGGTGGGTGGGTGTTTGGTTGGTATTCTATATGTAATAACAAAAATATTGTCCTATAAGGATCCACTTGTGACAATAACAATTAAACTTACCAGGCGAAGTAGTAGAAGAAGATGTTTTATTTTTAAGTCCTAAGCCGGCTAATAAACAAATGGATTAAATGGATTTGGATTTTACAAAAAACGATTAATGGAGAGAAAGCAATTAAAACATTTAAGAAAAAAAAATGTATTCATTGAACAATCAAAGGATAATTGGATGTAACAGTATATACATAAATATATATATATATATAATAAGTGTGATGTATTTATTTGGTGGGTGGGTGTGAGTGTGTATGTTTGGCAAAACATTGGACTGGACAAAAAGAGGAATGAGTGGTTGATTGTGTTTAGATGTGGGACAAACTTAAAAGGTTGTATATTATATATTATTCTGAGAATATATATTTTTTGTTGCAAGTAAAAAAGTAAAATTAGTTTTTAGTGTATTTTGTATTGTCAATATAGGTATATAAATTTTAAAAATAAATTTTAAATTCGTTTTTCAACATACCTGTATTGAAATCCAATCCTTGCGTATCCACCAAATATTGTAAAATATCACCTTGTTCTTCGAGATTTTCCGTTTCACGCAACATTGCAATCAGCTCCTCAACTTCTGTATCGGCAAAATTTGTATCGGTACGATGACGTTGTACAAGAATTTTGGGAACATTTTGTACTGAATTTTAGTAATTTGGCATTTGATTTTCATGATTTTTTTCATAGTTTTGCAGCAGATAGAGATACACACACACAGAAATCAAAACGAAATAATGTGTTTTTTGGCGTACGAACGAACGTAAGTGACGAGTTTGTGCGTTGTGAATAACGAAAATTATATGAAAATAAAAATAAATAAATAAAAAGTAAAATCAAAAAGAAATCATAATAAAAGACACACAGTAAACATATATTTTATATATGGATAATACGGAAGTACGGATGATAGGCCAGCTTTTACGAGAGATTTGTAAAGTGAAGAAGATCTTGGTGAACCAACCTCCCCTGCGTACGACACTGCTATTCCGGTATTACAGTAAAGTAGAAAGACACCAGAATATGTCAATAGAGTTATGTTAATTTCAAATCCTCTGAAGTGATTTGTGATGTATTTTGTTAAAAAAAAAGGATAATCCACAGGCGTGTATTTAGAAAAAAATATTTTTTCTAAGGATCACCACAAGATATTTAAACAATATTTTTTAAATGATAATCCGCATTCGTGGATTCTGTAAAACAATCTAGGATCAGTCGTTGATTTTTTTTAATAAACATCCACAGGCGTAAATTTTTTAAATGATCATCCACAGACGTGTAAAAATTTTTTTTTTAGAATCGTCCAGAATCGTAGAGGTTGATAGATGGATCGCGCAGAAGGGGAAGGTCACGAATTACAATGGAAGAGATCATTTCGAAACATGTTCTTTCAAATTGGTAGAGCTGCACGCAAGACCAACACACCTGGCTATCTTTTTTAAGCTCGGCTTATGGAACAGAAGTTCTGTCACAAGCCAACGAAGTAAGTAAGTATTCGCAGACGTGGATTCTGTAAAAAATCTGAGATAATCCACAGCCATGGATTTTTTAAAGAATATTTTCCAAAAGGTCAACCACAAGCGTGGATTTTTTTGAAGAATATTTTTTCAAGAATCATCCAAAGGCGTTGAATTTTTTAAAGAATACTTTCTTAAAGATTATCCAAAGGCATGGATTTTTTAAAGAACATTTTCTCAAGGATTATCCAAAGACGTTGATTTTGTAAAGAACATTTTCTCATGGATTATACAAAAGTGTGGATTTTTTTTGAAGAATATTTTCTCAAGGATTATCCAAAGACGTTGATTTTGTAAAGAACATTTTCTCATGGATTATACAAAAGTGTGGATTTTTTGAAGAATATTTTTTCAAGGATTATCCAAAGGCGTGGACTTTTTAAAGAATAATTTTTAAGGATCATCAACAGGCGTATTTCTTTTTAAGAATATTTTTTCAAGGGTCATCCAGGCGTGAATTTGTTAAAGAATATGTTTTCAAGAAAATTATATTCTATATTAACGGAGGCCACGTTGTGACAAAAAAATTAATGAAAAGCAAACTAAATATATGCAATAAAATCAAAATATAATAAACCTATACATCTGCGCATTTGACAACTGCCAACTTACTGCGTTTTTCCATTGACGAACGGCTGTGATTTATATCGATGGGATAGATATTTTCTCGTATCAAAACATCTGAACTGGTAGTGGTGTTGTTACTGTTGTTGTTGGGAGCTTCTTCAGGTGTTATGGCAAATGTGCTTGAGTGAGCCTGTTTATTTGCCTGCAACCAGGGTGGGGCAATTATCGATGATAAACGTCTTTCGGTTATGGGTGTGGGTCCTTCCATGCCCAAGGTGTCCGCTAAAAAAGAAACATCATTTATTCAAAGTTCTCTATAAAAAAACATTTCAATTTTTACTAACAATCCACATTAATCGAACGTGTCTTCTTGATGGCACCCTTACACGACATACGTCGTCTCAATTGTCTTGGCCTCAATTGTCCCGCTCTCAAATTCATCATATTACGATGACTAAACGAACGCAATAAATGTTCATCTAAATAGGTTTGAACGTCGGGATGTAAACGATCCGGATAACCATCTTCGGTACTACCCAAGAAGCTTAAATCTGTGATGGCCGATGTATTGAGAAAATCTTTTAGATTACCCAACATAACACGGGTGCCATTGATATAGCCAGATTTTAATTTACGCATTGTTTGTATCATCGCCAAGGGTATTTTATCTTGATCTGATATTTATAAATAAAATTATAGGGAGGATAGAAAATATATAAAAATTTATAATTTTTATTTTTTTTTAAATTTAGGCATGCATTTTTTTTCTTCCATATTTAAAATAATTGTGTTATTACATATACAGGCTTGGGCCGTGGTTAGTAACAAAGCTACTGATTCGTACATCCTTCACACAAAACAAAACGAAAAAATTACCCACAAATTGCAAAGCTTTAGAGAGAATACCAATACCATTTTTTAAGTTGCATTATTTCTTTTTATAATTTTAGACCAATTACCAATTTTTTCAAAATTTCACTAGGAAAATAAATTTCACAATTTTGAGTTATAAATATATATAGTCGGGGACTGTTACAACTTGTATTTGACGTTTTTTTGTAGTAATTAATTTTGAATATCGAAACGATAAATAGCCCATATTCGAACATATAGAATGAAATATGTTCAAAATTCTTAATTTGGTATTCCGCTAAAAAACGTTTGAGACATGAACATTTTAGTTTCATAACCTTATATATCTTCATATTATATATCTTCATAATTTGCAACGATGAGAATCAGCTTTTCAGTAGCTCAACATGGATTCCATGAAATGCACAGTACTACAAGGACAGTTCGGAACGTTTTAGCCTAGCACAAAAAGCGCGGGTCGAACTTTGTATACCCTCCACCATAGATATACCGACAGGTACTTGAAATGAAAAAATAGGGAAAATACCAAAATATGTCCACTTTTTGGTATTTTCCCTATATTTTCATTTCTACAAACCATAATACAAATTTCAGAAATTTCTAATGGATAATTATACCCTCAGCCTTATAGCTAACGGCTAATTTTCACAATGTCAAAGTGTATACACCCCATACATTGACACGGTGAATATTGGTTTTAGACCCCATGTTTCTTTGGACTAAATCCTTTTCAGAAAAATTTGATTTCATCCGAACTACCAATCTTATTAGTTTTTTATCTCGATATCCTCCACAGGTGACAGATTAAAAAAGAGTCTTAGAGCCAAACACAAAACGTGGAACAAATCTGTTAACTACGTTAAAATAAAAAAGGGAACTATCCTAAAGAGGAGGCGAATATTAATAATTTTTGGTAGGGAGATTTGTTACCATATACGACTGCAAAATACCAAATTGCAGCAAATTCGGCTGATAAACGCGCTCAAGAACCCCAACATATTGAAAATTGGGGGTACCCTTATATGGTGGCTATCCGACAAAATGGAATTATATACATACTTTTTTGTGGAGAGATTTGCTACCCAATATGAATTCGAAGTACTAAATTACAGCCAATTCGGTCGAAAAATATGATCAGGACCCCCAAAATACCGAAAATTTGAGGGTACCGTCATATGTGGACTACCAGGAAAAGTGGACCTATATTTAAAATTATTAGCGGAGTAATTTGGTACCCAATAAAAACCCGAATTCAGTTATAAAACACGCCCAAGAACCCCAAAATACAGAAAATTGGGGGTACCCTTATATGGGTGCTATCCGAAAAAATTAACCTATATATAAAAAAATTGCGGAGACGTCCTTTTTGAACACCTGTTTCTATATGAAGGAGTTGCCAGATCGAAACAAATTTTAATATGTGTTCATAACAGAGGTGGAACAGAGATGGAAGTGTCTAAAACACTTAACTTTTTCTGTTTATACCGCGCTTCTGGTGCTAGGCTAAGAACTTTCCGAAATGCCCTCGGACGACAGCATTGAACGCTCAAAATAATCTTCTAGCAATGAAGATTATATTTGAAAACCGTCAAAAATATAGACCTATTTCTTTCTTTTTTCCAAATTTATTGTTTTCTATATATAAAAAATATATCATTAGCCCAATATTAGTAACAATCTACATACATAATAGAAAAATATACAATTTTTTAAAACCAACAACTAAACCAAAGTAAAAAAGAGTGCAAACATACCATCTTAAAAAAAATTGTAATTAAAATTGAACATAAAATAATATCAACAACGACAACAAAAGCGTAATATAGATAAGCATTAACTTTATTTTGGTGGCACATATAAAGAAAAAGAAGCTAAAGCAAATAATAATAAAATAGGGTATTAATAGTCAAAAAAATAAAAAAATATGTAATTAGCGAACTAGAAAATTTGTGATATTTTGGGAACGGTATATGTAGATGTAATTTATGATATTTATTCGAAATTTTTATGGACCATTTTTTTAGAAGTTAGTAGCAAATAATTTGTCAAAGATTCAAAACATGCAGGCACCCCATTAAATTTTGTTTACAATTATGGAAATTATATTTAGATTTTATTTACCCTGGACAATATTTTTGTTTTTATTTTTCATAAAAAAAGAAAATTTTTTCTTTAAAGTGTGAAAACTTAGTGAATGTCTGTCTATAAATTTTTCAATATCCATTTTTAAAAATATATAATTGTGTATGTAATAACTATACCGTTCCCAAAACTCATTTTGAATTGCATATACATATGTAAATGTTGTGGTTATTAGTGTAAGTATGGCAATAGGTGTGAGTGTGTGTAGTGTATGTGTATAGTATGTAAATGCTTCGTGGATAGTAATGTTTCGTGGATAGTAATTACCTAGCATATAATGTGTTGCCATTAAAGTTATGGTAGGTCTTCCTAACATATGACGCCAATTATTTGTTAGGAAAGCTAAATTGGTGGTGAAATTACTTGCAAGCAAGTCAGGATCTCGTGTAGTATAATATTCTTCATAATCGATATGCTGAATTAAAAATTAATATAGTTTATATAAATAAAATAAAAGTACTGATCAATCAATGATATGAATGGTTTCAAATTTTAGATTGGTAATTGGGGGATTTTATTTATTTTTTCTTTTTTGTAAAACAAAAAAAAATAGTTAAGAATAGATTTTTTGTTTTAATTTGGGAATTTTAAATTTGTTGGTAAAAAATTATAGTGAACAAAAATCAAAATGTATTTTTTTTAAATTTATTTTAATTTTTTTTTTTTAATTTAGATATTAAAATTCTTATTGAATGAATTTAATAGCCATATTGAAAAAAAAAAATTATGAATTCTGTTTTTGTAAGTAGTATAAATAAAAGAACTAGTCTTTTAATATTCTAAAATCCTCTATTAAACAAAATGAAGTACATACTGCTTTATTAGAATATAAAATAAAAATATCTATTTCAAAATCTGTGTTGTTCAAAAGATACTTGCGTGCTTTATGATAAAAAAAACTACAAAAATATGTATGTATATGTTAATGGGGACACAAAAGCAAGTTTTATAAAAGCCCAATTAAAATAGATAGATGATGTAGACAATTCCCAAAATCGAAATATTTTTTTTTGAAAATAAAAATCTTACAAAAAATGTATACAAATTACATATGAAATATAAATAATAATAATTAAAATAAATTAGTATATAGTAACGTTTTATTTATTATTATTCTTATTTTTTTACAAATCAAAATTCCCTGTTGAGGATATTCAAAGAATTTCGGAAAACTGGAAATTAACAAAAACTGATTATAATTTTTATAATTATTACTTGTATATATATATATATATATATATTACTTTAAAAATTAAAAAAAAATCATTCCCAAAAAAAATATTTCGATTTTGTGTTATAATTTACACACACATAAAAATTTGTGATTAATTTTTGTTTTATTTCGTAATGCCAAAACCAATTTTAATTATAAAGAAGAAGAACCCAATGTTTTTGTTTTAGATAACACAAAACTCGCTTTTGTATACAAAGAAACATAAATAAAATGCGAAAGAAACAGAAATCATACGGAGAATATTATTAAAAAAATTATATAAAACGCATCCCTTGCAAAAGATAATTAGACGAAAAGTTTTGTTTATATATATCATACAAATGCAAACATAATATAAAAGAAGAGGAAGATTTTTTTTGAAAAGAAAAACAAAAATAAATTTGCCAAACAGACCTAAATGAATCTTTTTCAAAACTAATGTAACCAAGGGACGTCCAAGCAAATCCCAAGCTGATTTAAGAAAATTTATTTCGCCTTTTAGAATATCAATCATTAATTCATAATCGGAGGCGATATAGAAACGTGATAAGTCGACAAACTAGAGGAGTTGATTTTGAGTGTGTTTGTGTTTTTTATATATATAGAAAAATAAATAAAAAAGTTAAATTAAAAAAAAACAAATTCAAATTGAAATAAAGGAAAAACAATTGAAATAAATAAATAAATTTTATATAAAAAAAATGTATTTCAGCTTACCTGAGGTGTAAAGGCAAATATTCTATCTTTCAATGAATACAATTTACTTGTACTCAATATACCCACATCACGTGATTTACGTCCGGTTAAACCCAATTTACGATTTCTACCCAAATACGTGTACAAATGACTGAGAACACGAGCGGGTTGCACTTCAATGGGTGCAACCTCAGCAATGGTCTGTACATGCAAATCCGATTCCGCCAATTTATCACGAATTTCATTGTCTTCGGCAATAATGACCACCTGTACAACAACATCGGGTTTCTTTTGGGCACCCAAACGACGATTCAGCGGATCTAATTCACCAACAGCTAAAAAGCCCTGTAAAATAAATTGAATAGCAAATTATATTACTAATTTAAATATGTGTGTGTGTGTTTTTTGCAAGATTTACCTCTTGCAATAGTCGTCCCAATATAAACAACGATTGACCCCATAAAAATGGACAACGGCCAACAACTTCTCTGGGTGCCGAACCGGGATGTTTATATTCTTGCGAGACAGCATCTGGTGGCACAGCATAACTTTCGGGTATTAGAAGTATACCATCATCGCCACGTACCATGATTTGCTGTTGGATGAGAAATTTATAAAATAATTAAATTTAAAAAAAATATTATTTAAAAATCCTCAACTAAAATAAAAAAATATTGTTTAAAAATTAAAATTTAAAAAAAATGTTTTGTGTAATAATCACCCCTAAAAATAGATTCTTTTAAAATCACGCCTACAATTAAAAAAGTATTTTTTTAAAAATCAAAGCCTAAAATTTTGAAAAAAATATTTATTAAAAATCCATGTCTAAAATGTTTGAAAAATCCACGCCTAAGATTTCTAAAAATTTGTTTTAAAAAAACACCCCTAAAATTTTGAAAAAAAAATTCTTTAAAAATCAACGCTTACATTTGCCAAAATTAAAAAAAAAAATCCACCCTTTAAAATTTTGAAAAAAATATTCTTTAAAAAATCCACGGCTAACATTTCTTGTCAGCTTCAAAATATGGAAAATATGTCAAAACTTACCTCCAACCGATCTGCATACTCCTTAACAGACATTTTATCATTTTGAAATGCATGAAACAATATCAAATAACAATAAAACAACGGCCATTCACATTCAATATTCTCGAACATGCGCAGCTCCCAACGTTCATAGTACAAACGGCTTGGATCCTCTTTCGGTGTACGATAACCATCCCGCAAAAAACGTTTGCAACCATATTTACCCTGTAAACGTTGCAGAATAGCATCTTTGGTATTGCGTATCAATTGTGGATCATCGACAGCAAATGCGGGAAATCCGATTACGCACAAAAGACCCGAATCCAATTCTTTACTATTCGATTCACGTGGCAACATTGATTGCAATACAGCCTGACATTTGTGGGCCTCATCGGCGAGGACATGTATTACACTGGCGGGACCACCACGAGCACCAAATAAATCCAACTCGTTCATTGCCTCCAGAGCAGCCTTAGCCATACCAATAGAACTGGCATTGAGTTCAGGTTCACCGTGATTTGTTTTATCACCCCGCTCCCATATGCCATAATCGGGGATGCAATAGGCCGATTCAATGTAAAATACTAAATTTTGTATAAAGGACACTTCGTCCAATGAGAAGACAATTTGCAGGCCGGAGGCAGTCATTTGGGCCAAAATCAAAAGATACAAAGAGACAGCATCGATTTGCAAATGACCCCATTCGGCGTCGCCAACAACAGGTTGACCATTTGTGCTAGAGTATTTGGCATGTAGCGAATCCAATGGATTCTGGGTCATTTTGAATTTTTCAACTTTATCCTTCTGATTCATCATGGCCATGAGGAGACCACGCATTAGCTTAACACAGCTCTGTTCCAGTTCATAGCATTTGGCACGATCTTCATCCTGATCGGCAATTTTCTTATAGGCCATTGAAAGACCCCACACGGCCAAGATGCAATAGACATTGTCTCTGATCCAAGCATGTGAATTTACATTGGATGCTGGAAACAATCCGGTGACTGGTTCCTGATGGGACATAATCAGGCGATGCACCACGCGCTGGTAATAGTCCAGGCGTACGCCTGAATTGCTGCGCGAACGCATATTGTCCGATGTCGTCGCTACCCACCGACCGACCGAATGTCTCGTTTAGCGAACTAAAATAGAAAAGAATTGCATTCATTAGCAGTGCATTGTTAAATTGATGACTGACTAGCCTATTAACGAGCAAGCAAACAACTTACATAAGTTTAGTAATATAGACGATCACTTCCACTACCAGCACCTCTTGTCTTGCGTTGCCTGTCTTTCCTTTACAAAACTATTCGACTATCAGTTCTATTCCTGATTCGTTTTCGAATTTTTATTTCCTCAATTTATTGTTCTAATTCATATCTTTTGGCATAAATTTTATCACCCACGAATTGCCTGCACTTTGGCGAATATATTCCTGTAATTTTTTGTTGTTTTGGTATAAAAATATCTTGTAAAATTGTTTTTTTTCTATTGGAACAATTGATTCGTCGTAAAATCACAAAAATTTTTCACAGTTTTTCATGTAATTAAATAAAATGTCAAATCAATGTCAAATTAATAAAGACATCAGAATTAAAAACGTTCCACAAGCTACGAATTAAGGGAGATAGAAGAAAATGTCTGATAAAGAATGAATTTCAAAACAAAATATTTGTAAAATGGTAATTGTTTACGAACGTGTGTGATGCATAATTGACGATTGACCACTTGTTGTTTAGAAAGAGATATGGAAGATAAGTGAGAAAATCAGTGAACGAATGTTGACATGACAACACAACGAAAGGAACTACAAAATGTCAGAGGAAAAATATACACTGAGAGAAAATGTGACTCATTAGTTAGGTTAGATATTAACAGTCGTTTTACTCGTAGACTAGTGAACCATTGTGTTCATCCTAAAAATGAACTAAGAATGAAAAAAGAAGAGGTAGAGTGAAAAAGGTATAGCATGAAAATTAGAGGGGTTTGAGGTTAGATTTGATAACTCAGCCATTATTATAACTGGTTTGTCTTGTCCCATTAATCAGGAAAAATATGAATTTTTGGCTTAAGTCTAGTTTAGGGGTTCCTTTGGGAACGTTTTGAAATCCGTATTTCCGGAGATGATTTTAAAAATTTACTGAGGCAATATGGGCATCAATTAAAAGCGTTCGAAGCCCTGATTACATAAACACTATTCAAATTAAAAGATGATTCGGTCGCGTAGCCGGAGTTGCCACCTGTCCATAAGAAAAATTATTAAATCCCCGTCGAAGTGGTGCGGACGACGACTTGATGTTGATTTCGGGAAAATTTCCGTCAACAATCTCGGAGCTTATGAAAATAGCCTTACTGATGCTGTCACGCTGGCGAACGGCCTTGGTGTAAACCCAACAAAGACGGAACTGGTAATGTTCACTAGGAATGGATGGAGTGCAGCTTCATCAATCACCCGAAGGAAAATACCTTGGCACAATCCTGGACTCTCGGGCGAAGAGAGGGCTGATTGCAGTGTATGCATGCAAGATCTCCATTGGGAAATGTTAGGGGCTA